ATCAACATGTTAAATGGGGCAATAAGATTAGAAAGGAGAGACAGTCCTTGAACCAGAACCATCTTAACAGCAGTTTGGGTGACAGTTTGTCCCCTGTCATCTAAACCTGAAGTCAAGCATGACTGACTGACTGAGTTTGGTTTTTACGTTGCTTTTAGCAATATTCCAGCAACATCATGGTAGGGTGGCACTAGAAATGGGCTTCACAGATTGTACCCATGTGGGGATTCGAACCCGGGTCTTGGCGTGACGAGCCAACGCTTTAACCACTAGGCTACCCCACCGCCCCAGTCAAGCATGAGATGCAACAGGACATGAAAACAATGAAGCAGAGTATAGACGAGGATGTGGACAAAGTTTCAGACAAGACCCCATTCCACAAAGCATTAAGCCAAGAGGCGGTGGGGGTAGCAAAGTGTTCACTCGTCAAGAAGACCCATTTTAGGTACAATGTGTTCCCATTTTCTGGTGTTCCCAGCCGCGATATTGCTGGAATATTGCAAAAAGCGGCATAAAACTAAACTCACTCACTCACTAAGTCAAGACTGTTCTTAGACTAACATCTAGTCTATGAAATGAACATATGTTTAAAAAGAAAACAGTTTCAAAATTTTGTTAATAAAATATAATAAAAGAAACACAGAGTCTTTTTCCATTTTCAGAAAATGTGGTAATCTAGACTTACCACACATCCTCCATTTGCATGAGCTGCACTGGGTAGATTTTTTCCACGGTCTTATTTGACAAACTAAGAATGTCTTAATGCCCATACTTTTACATCAACTTTTGCTCTTTGAAGATCAACGATCCAAGTACTGAACAGGGCCCAATGAGGAATGAGGTCTTCCCACTTGTAAGGCCTTGATGACTTCCAGAAAAACATTTTGAGGTTGGAGACATAAAATGGAGATCTTAAGTCAGACCACTGAGACTCACTGATACACGTTGGAGAAAGTGAGCACAATAAATATATAAACATTACACGCTGATAATGCACATTCTCCCTGTGATAATTTATAAACTGGGAAAGAAAGTGACTGTGATAGTCACATACCCATTACATAAGCCATTACGAAATGTGGAGTGATTTAGTGCACATCCTGTTGTTACACAATCTCGTAATAAAACATGTTATTTGCAAATCTGGACTTTGTTTATAGGGTAGTGATCACGATCACATTATCCGCGAGTCACGAGTGAGTAAGTATGGTTTATTGGTCCATCAAAATAGCTCACAAAAGCTGTTAGTTTCCAACCTATTTTTAAGTAAAGCTAGCTACATCTATTTATCCGGTCTCAGCATTTTACAATCAAGACTTTGTGACGGAGATGGATATAGCATAAAAATTTGAATCAATAAAGTTTTAAAATAGGAATCGATACACATAAGCATGTATCGTGCGACCGTGATCGTCAGTAAAATGGGCTTGCATCGATACATTCGACATTGGTTTACGCTACTTTTAGCAATGAATATCGTGGCGGGGGAGACCAGAAATGGGCTTCCCACATTGGGGAATGAGGGGAATCAAACTCGGGGCTTCGGCATGATTATGTTTGTAACTTGGTTAGTATTTATTTTTACTCAAAATGCCATTCAATAATGTGTATATGTATTGTGGCTCTGGCCCTCTGTTACTAACTTACAACTTCAATTTACCTCATTCACAGCAACCACAAACATATTTGCATGTCTCATAATGAAGTGCAGTTGACAAAAATGGATATTTCTATATAATTTGTTGTGATAAAAGTTGGTGGAGGATTACTTGTCAATAAACACGATGAAAATAGCGAGATCGTGCGAAACCACAATGGTGACAGCAGATCAATTGATTTAGACTAGTTTCCTATCTAGTCCCAAAAAAGATATCAATACTGAAAAATATCATGTGAAAAAAGTCTGCAAAATCTGAAAGAAGCATTAGAACTGAAAATATAAGCAGTGGGATAGATTGATCATGTTTATTTTCATTCATAAAGCTCACCTCAATGAAAATACCAAATATGTGTAACAATGCTGACGTATGCATGACATTACTATCGGAAGTGACTTTCACGAAATAGCATGTTCACCGACATGCGTAAACAGGATATTTGGAAGGAAACTTTCATTGTTTAAAACAATGTACATGTTGATAAGGCCAGACCAATTTTATTTCTTGTTTTATGGATTTTTGTCCTCAGAAAACCTAAAAGCAGGAGGGAACAAAATCAAAAATTAAAATCACTAGTCAAAATAATTTTCCTTTTAAATACTAAAATTATTTTATTTTTGGCCATTTATGAAGTTTTAAATGGGTCAAAAAACAATCCCAAATTTTTTGTGTAAGTTTACATTTTGGGCCAATAAATACTTGAGGATTACCGTATATGACCGTCTATAAGCCAAATCATGAGGACCAAAAAAAGCAGTCTGTAGAAGGGGGTCGTCTTATCCATGGGTTACACTTTCGTCAAACTTTTTTCCAAGGGTAAGAAAACAACATCGTATCACTTCGCGTGAACAAACAACAGAAAACGCCTTTGTCAGTAGAGACGTCAAATTTGCAATTAAACATCACTAGACAAGATTATTTACCTTTTAAGTTCTAAGTTGTTTTTGCTGGGCATTGTATTATTTGCAGGGATTAAGATTACCGTGTGTATCTGAGCCGGAAATAGCAATCAGCTGTACACATATTTCGAAGCGATCAAGTTCAAACATGCACAATAATATAACAGGACGAATTCTGACGCAGTCATCAGTAAAATATAATACAGAACGCTGTTATTTAACCCAAAGAAATATATCCTAGCATTGTGTAATTTTAATTACAGTTTTGGCTCTAAAATGAATATATAATTAGATCTACTAAGGTATATGAGCCAGAATAGCACCCAGCAGCTGAACAAGTTCAAACATGCAAGTTATAACGGGACATTCTGGAATGGGGTAAAACATAATACAAGTACTATTTTTAAATTCACCTACATTTGTAATTTTAATTACAGATGTAAAATATATATAATCAACACTAGCATAACGTCAATAAGGAAGTTGTGCGCGCACATGGAATGGGGTAAAATAATGGTAAAATCAGTGTTACTGTAAACTAGCAGTCAATGGAAAAACGAGGCGTTCAGTTGAATTGTTGAATGGGGTAAAATAAGCAAGCCAGTTTGTTGCTACAATAAATATGATATTTAGAGAAACAAAATATATTATGCATTTTCTGTCAACTACACGTCGTTTCGATCCATGAGTAGATGCAATATATATGATTGTGAAAAATTCTTTGAATAATGTGGACCAAAGTTATAATTATTGGTAACTGCCAGTTGTCTGTGGTCTGTGTTTGCCGCGATTAGGACCCCATCGCGGGGGATCGACTCATGCACGAAACATACCATTTTGACACTGATTTTAAGGGTCAAGTTTAGGGGTTGTCTTATCCATGGGGTCGTCTTATAGACGGTAATATACAGTATATTTTTTGAGCGGGGCAAATTAATCTGGGTTTTTTAAATCTTATTCTTGAAAAAATATGACCTGGGGATCCGTAAAACAAGAAATAAAATTGGTCTGGCCTAAATGTGATAAAGTAGTTTAAAACATACTGACAGTCTGGGGTTGTTATTTTCTTCTTGTTTTCGTTGTGACCAAGGGAAATAGCCGGAAATGTGGGGAAGTACGTCAATGTTGTGCATGTCAGTTTGCGTCAATCATGTCGTCATGCTTAGCGGAAACTATAATATATTGTGTTGAACCTGGGAAATCATTGGAATACACCTGTTTTTACTTCCCTGTATCTTTGAATACGCGATGCCACACGTTACATTTGGGATTACACTTTTTCAGTATCTTGCTACAATACTTTTCCTGTGCATGTTCCGACATTTATGAGCAAGTATGTGCAACAAGTAGGAGAATGGATCTCTTACAGTATGATAAAATGATACACAGTGTCAAATCGGAGCTTGACTTTGTATACATTTCAAACAAGTGGTCCTTTCTTAGCGCAGCATTCGTTTCACATGACATATTTTGCTAGATTTCAGTGACACTTTGTGATTTTCTTTTGAACTGTATGATGAATTCAGCGATTCATGTAAGGAAGCTGATTTTGAATTATAGTTGTAATGTAATGGGCGAAACATAACCAACAAAGTGTGAAGTGATTTTATAAACATTCTGCAATATGGCTGAAAGTTCACTTCGACATTCATAGCGATGTTCGGTTTATTGACGATGTTTCAGAATGACCATTGCTGAATCAATCTAACAACAACAATATTTAAGTTACACTAAGTTACGCTAAGTTACGCTAAGTTACATGAGTTACACAAAACACTGAATGTTGATTTAGGAAAGTGTCAAAATGCATGTAATTTTCAGTAGATTTGCGCACCCTACATGATAGATTTGCACATGCTGGCACATTCACCGATGGCAAGCTACAGACTCATACCAAACGTATTCGTCACCGCTGAGTTGACAACATCATTTTGACACCGATGAATGATGTCCTTTTCAAGGTTGATTTTCCACACTTCCAGTCACTTGAAATTTTTCAGCAACATTGTGAACAGTAGTCCTATACCTGGAATCCCCAACAACCTGGCAATTTCTCTAAATTTGTGTCCTTCCTGATTTAATCTGACAATCAATTGTTTGGTGTCAGTGTCGAGTTGGATTTGATCTCACACCTTGAACTTATACTATGTATTTTCACCTGTTGAGAGTGGGCTGGGGAGTTGCCTCCCGTTTGTTTGTTTTGTTTCCGGTGTAAGACGGCGGGATTCCAGTAATTTCTAAATGCTAGTGGTGTGATGTGGCTCGATCCTGTGAAGACCTGGGTTAGGATATTGATCTTCAGTGATCCATGCTTGTCGCAAGAGGCGACTAACGGGATCGGGTGGTCAGGTTCGTTGACTTGGTTGACCATGTCATCATATCCCGATTGCGTAAATCAATGGTCATGCTGTTGATCCCTGGATTGTCTGGTCCAGACCTGATTACTTACAGTAAGTTTTGCGTAATTTCACAGTGCAGACATCTTCTAAAAAACCCTTTCCACATTCCACATAATCAATCTCACTTAGAACCTTGTGTTTATCCTTATCCAACCTATAACACCATGTACTGTTTTTCCGAATAATTTTCAGGCTATGCTATTTTTTAAAAATGGTTGTTAAATTATAGAAAGGTATTTTAAAAATGTTATGGCAGATTATGATTGTTTTGTTGGAGTTTTATTAATGCTTGAAGTAGCCATATGACACCAACTGTCTTATCTAATGTTATAGTTGAGCAAACGTAATCTAATAAGTTGGGTAGGTGGGTGGGTAGTATTCGAAGTAATTTGTTTAAAAACTGCATGTACAGCAACTCTTCTAGGAGTGAGTGAGTGAGTGAGTGAGTGGTTTAATACTGCTTTGAACAAAATTTAATTATATCATGTGTGTTTGCTTCCTGTGGGAGTCGAACCTTCGGTCAGGCAACCAAATGTTTTAATATCAACCGATCACCATCTTGAATTAGTAATATTCTGTGTTAAGTACACTACGTGACAATAATTTTCTATTAATAAGAAACAAGGAAACAAACAGACGGATGCTCCTTACTTCCTTAAACTCCGGTGTCAACATCATGTTCTATTACTGGTAGAGAGGCCACACGTTTCAGTATCCTGTTAAAAGCCTCATACCTGAAACCTAATCCTGATAAGGAGCCAACCACTGCATGCCTAAAGCCCTCACCACCTGGCAGGATCAATACTCACATCCACTTCACCACTGTCTGACTGAATGAGTGTGTGAGTGAGTGAGTGAGTGAATGAATGTGCTTAAATTTTAACGAGCATCAGGCAAAAAAAAATAAATGTTATGGTTCCGATTTCCTACATTTCAGAACTAGGGTAGGTAGGTAGGGTTTTTTGGTTTTTTTTGCAAAATATTTTACATTACTCATCATATTCATGTGTCAGAATAAATTTAATTTATGATGTGGTGAGTAAAATTGTTAGGCTCGGCAGGAATATTTAGGGTCGGTCGGGAAATCGGAACCACAAGCTTTTTTTTTTAGGCCTCATCATTCTATTAGTCTGTCTCACAGTCCCGGAACCACATTATTTTACCTTCTGCCCATCCCTTTCTGCAGTGATGCCAACCCGAAAGTGTTGCAAATAGTAGTTTCAAGGATCAAAATTAGTAGTTTGACCATAAAATCAGTAGTCAACAAAATACTTAAAATCATGATGGATTCTGAGAAAGATGATATGACACTAATCAACAGCAGATTTCCAAATTGTTACTTTCATTGATTCCACTTAAAATATGTCAATAAATTTGATGAAAGGAAGTAAGTGAAGTCCGAAAATGTATTTAATCGATGTAAATATATGCTTTTTTATATATCTGAATTTGTTATGAATTTTCTTCAAATTTCGTAAAAATCATATTGGTATAGTTTGAGGCTATAATTCGTAGCGACTACGATAAAATCGTAGAGGTTGACATCTCTGCCTTTCTGCAATGCTAAAGCCCTAAATGAAGCAAGTCTAGGTTTCCTTAGGTTCAGGAATCTCCCATCTCACAGGGGCTCTTTTTCAATTTAGAGGGAATTGTCTGTTTCTATCAAAATTATATGTATTCAGAGACTAAGCGTTAATCTATCATTCTATATGTTAAACACATTACTGTTGTCTGTTCATGTCTGGTTACTTAGAAACCCCACAAAGAGGCACCAACTGGGTACAAAGTCTACTTCACTAAAGCTTTAAATATTTTTCAATCCTTAAATCCACCTCTGTTGAGCTATTTCAGTTGGAGATATCGCATCACAGCATGGTATTCCATTTTGTTCATTTTCATTGATAGTGAATATCTTGTTACTTTGATGCTTGCAGAAAAGCACACCAGGCCCTGATTTCTCGAAACAAACTTAAGTTAGTACTCAAATTTCAAACTAAGTTTGACAATTTGAAACAGCTGAATTTTTAACTCAACTGCATTTTTAAAATAAAAAACCCCAAACAACTTAAGTAATCTATCTACCAAACTCAAATTGTGTACTGTGTTTGAGTTAAACATTGATTTCAGTTCACTATGGGAAATGCATTTCCCTACGTTTTCTCAAATTTGAGTCAAAACTCTAACTTAAGTCACAACTCAGACTTAAGTTTGTTTAGAGAAATCGGGGCCTGATTGAGCATTTGGTTCACCTGCAGCCTGTAAGCATGCAAAGTATTGTACTTAATACATGTAAACTGTTAAAGAAGTACTTGTGGTTTTGCTCAGAATGTTCAGCCACCTCAGATATCATAACTTTGTATCCCTTTACCGCCTCCGTGGTTAGAGCGTCCGCCCCGAGAGTGGAAGGTCGCGAGGTTCGATCCCCAACCGCGTCATACCAAAAGACGTTAAAATATGGTACTTGTTGGTCCCTGCCTGGCGCTCGGCATTAATGGGTACAACAAGGACTGGTCGGCTTGGAGTCAGTATAATGTGTCTGAGTGGGGTATTCATGCTTAACTGCGGCATGGTATCTCAGTGGGCTAGCACTATAAAACCAGCTTAAGTCTGGTCTAGTACAAGCAGCCGCACATACACATACACACACATGCACATCATCATATGAGTGAAATATTTTCAAGCACGATGTAAAACCCAATTTCACCTCACCTCACCAGACTGGATACTGATAAGAGGAACATAACATTCTATTTTAGGGCCCGTTCATACTTTATTGCTTGGGAGGGGTGATGATGATTTTAAAAGGGGGTAGGGGGTGTCACCCATTTCATTCTGGGTAGGTAGGGGGGTCTTCCATTTTGTACACATGTACTAGGGGGTCATCATTGATTTTTCACATGACATGCAAGGGGGTGGGGCACTTACTTTGCACATAGATTTTAGGGGGGTAATTCACATTTGAAATGCTTCTCCATAAAAATCACCCCAACTAGTAATAAATTATGGTGACACAAGAAATGGGCTTCACACATTGTATCCCTGTGGGGAATCGAATCCGGATTTTCGGCGTGAAGAGTGAACGCTTTGACCACTAGGCTACCCCACCACCCCTCACAGGAAAGAACTGATGGTGTGTTCTTCAGTCATTCAAGATCAGATGCAAATGGTCCATAAAAATATGTAGAAGTAGAAGATTTCCAAAACACAAAAAAAGATTTCAGGCAAGGTAAAATGGCTTGTTACTTCTGAACATTTTGTCCAAATATCTGTAACGTAGTGAGTTCTCGCTAATTTGTTAGCGAAAAAGACAAAAAGCTTTGGGCAACCACTACTGCACAGCTTTTGAATGAAACCATTATAATGAAATCATGCTATTCTTGTAGTAGTTTAAACTTAGCCAGGAATTCAGTGACCATACAAACCTGCAATTTAGCAAGTACAGCTGATGCAAATAGAGGTCATAATGCAAAATAAAATAAAAATTATTCATTTCGTCCCCTTTGCGGCTCGTATATTTTCATTCTGGAATTAAAAATTATCATGTTTAATGTTACAGAGAAAAAAAGCAATCTGACTTCTCGAGTATTGAAAGCTTTAGTTTTTGAAATACCATTTAAGCTGAGAAGAGCTCTTTAAGGAAATCTTACAAGCGCCAGAAAATTACAAGGGCAAAGAAACCTGTAATCTGATTTTCTCATTGCACATTTTTTTCGGTGTACATGGGAACTACAAAGTATGTGATTGAAGTGTTCACTGATCACAATCTGCTCACCTTTCTTCTAAATACAGAAACTGAAGAGACAGAGTCTGTGTTTTAGAAGATTTTCAGATGAAGCATATGAAGGATAGATTCAATGGGATTATGGATGTATTTTCTCAAGTTTATCTGCTCAAGACAACACAAACTGTGGCTTTGTAATTACGCAGGTTGTGTGTACTTCATGTTTTGTTTTAATCGCGAAACATTTATGCCAGAGAATAACAATTCTCTATTATCTGACAAAACCAATTCCACAGAGTGTTAAAGGCCAAATAGCAGTGCTGCTGTGGGTTCTGTATGGAGGAAGAGTCACAAAATTAAAGGAGGTGGTTTATACTGGGAGGGTTGTTGGAAAATAACGATAAAGGGGAAAGGCAGGAGGGAAGTGTGTCGAGGAAGAATGGCTTTAAAAGACAGTGACTTTTTTGGCTGATCAAGGTCCACTGATAGTTTGATCGGCATTCTAAAAGTTGGTGAGTCAATACTAAAGCACACAACTTTATGTGTACTTCATGTCTTGTTTTATCGGCTCTTGGGCCATTTACTCATGTTTATATATCACCCAAAATTACTTCTCATGTATCACTTGCTTGACAACGACATTAGAATCTATGTCGAAACATCGCCTCTAAGAATAAAGAAGTTGTATATCCATAAAAATCTCAAAACTGTGTTATACGGAATACCTCCAGCAAACAACAATGTCAATAAGAACATAATAGAGTCCCTGCACCAATACATCTTTAAGTCTAAACGATTTGATAAATTATTCTAGACAATTATATTAATCAATAAATGAAGTGTAGCTGCAAGCTCAAGGTTTATAAGCACCTACAACGGACATATATGATTTAATTTGTCGGTTTTTGTATCCAGTTCTTGTGGATTTTGTTTAAATGATATATGTACTGGTAAGGTATTGATATAAGCACAGTTCTGCTTGATTACCAAACCAGATTCTCTAGGAATAAAAATATGTTTAAATCATGAAAATAGTCCTCATCCTTCATCTACCCAATTTCTAGTAAGTGAGTGAGTGAGTGAGTATGGTTTTACGCCACTTTTAGCAATATTCCAGCAATATCACAGCTGGGGACACCAGAAATGGGCTTCACACATTGTACCCATGTGGGGAATCGAACCTGGGTCTTCGGCGTGACCGGCGAACGCTTTAACCACTAGGCTACCCCACCGTCCCTACCCAACTTCTAGAATGCCAATCAAAGAAAACTTTATGGATTACAACTTCTTGTTTATTACGTAGAGCATTATTTCACAGCATCTTGAAAATGGTAAGCAAATACACTGAAAAGTGTATATCAAGAAGTTGTTATCAATAAAGTCTTATGAGTTATTATCAAGGTGAACTGGTCAGTGTTTCATATAAACAGACAAGCTGTGTCAACTCACGTCCCTTACCCCCAGGATGTTCTGAAACTGTTAATGATTGCATATTGCTGCAATAAACATCTTGCAGATTAGAGTTTCAGCACACAGCTGTCACTTGAAAGTCACTGGTGTCTTCTCTTTTTGTAATCATTCCAAACTAAAAATGACGTGAGTAAACCAATCTCTGTTGCACTGCTTACATCAAAATTTTTCATCAATGCTTGTCAGGTCAAATATAACACATAAACTGTATTGATATTGTCTTTGAGTATAAATCGATTTAAATATCGTTTTGAGTAATGTTCTAACAATTTTAGCTGCCATTATTTATTTCTAAACTGACTGACTCCACTGAGCTCAATCAAATAAAATAATTTAAGTCTGCCTACAGCATTATGAAATATTATGAAATTTAAATTTCACTAGCACGCATAGTGAGTAGTGAGTATTATTTCAAATTAGATGTAAATTTCATGTAAAAAAAATAGTAGATGTGATATTGGTATCATCATGTTGTGTGTAAAGTGAAGTTATAATTTCATGTCATAAAAATAGTAGATGTGATATTGGTATCATCATGATATCAATATACATCTACTATATGTTTATGACAAGAAATTGGAAATTTCACAAGCACATGTCGTGTGTAAAGTGAAATTATAATTTCATTAGTAAACATAGTAGATGTGATAGTGATATCATGACAAAGACACCAATATCAGATTTACTATGTTTATGACATGAAATTTTATACTTGCAGTAATTCAATTAAATTTTATCATAATCTTTGCATTTATGCACCAGCTGATTATATCACAACACTTTCTCTCTGGTTTTATCCCAATACAATAGTTAGAATAACCTGTATTTTCATCGTTGTTAAATATGCAAACAACTATAATATTGATATAAAGTAATAAATTCAAAATATTATGGGGGTCATTTTACGTGGGTGTTGATGTATTTTTCCATGAGATAATCATATCTTTGTGACTTATAAAAACCTGTCATTAAAAAGATTCTTAATAACACAGGAAAACATGGCCAATAACATGAGAATGTATATATCTTTCCAAGCTCACCAACGTGTCAATTAGGTTCGTTAAATAGCACCACAAACATTAATATCCAAATGGCAATATAAATATTATTTCACCATACAATAAACACTATAATCATCAAAACAGCCTGAAACAACAATACCAAACATGAAACCTTCACTACACAGATAAACCTTGTTTAGAACACGTACCATATCATGCATACGTGGTGGTGAAAGTCTCTGAATGCATGCCGAAAACAACGAACCACTTGCTCTGTGATCGAAAACAGAACAGGGTTATTCCCATCATAATTAGTGCTTACATACTCTTCTGATAATATAAACTGTCACGCCATTTGTCTTAGACCACAATGTGTTAGTAACGGCTCACTACACACTCGACGGACATACCTGCAATTCTTCCCTGCATTGCGTTGACAGCTATTCACAACAGGTGCCCGCCATGTTGCTACATTGTGTACGCTCAGTATGTGACAGCTAGTGGGGCCCTACATGGGTTGTCTTCAGTTCGGTACACGCTTTTCACTGTGGATTACATATTTTGACCTTCACCAGTGGATTTACGTGTGGCTTGCAATACTATTGTGTGCATGAGTTAAATAAATATATCCTATGAATGTACGTCTGGCGTATTTCCGACCCCGATATGTAATTGTGTACATACGGAAAAGCATCACAATACCCAATATATTTGAATACCGAATGTCGTCATGTGGGATTTGATTATTAAAATGAGAATTGCACCTCAGTAGAATTAACTTCCGGATGGAGTCATTGTGTTTGTTTGTGCATCGTAATCTTATCTCGACTTATAATCAAGGATGAGAGTTCAAAGCGGCCATGGTCATAGTATTTAAATACATACACTTATTGTATACATCGAACAATTTACAGAAAGTGAATTATTTACCATTTAACTGATTAATAAATTATGAAGAGTGACAAAGTGTTTAACAATGTTATGGTATGATAATGTTTGCTTCCAGTCATGATTTCCACAAAATGGGAGGTCAACAACATGTAAACATTTTCATTATTTCAATACGAATCGACGTTTTCCTACTGATTAAAAGTAAATAAGATTTCTTAATTAAAAATTGAACAAACACACACTGGTATGTAACTGTACCACACGCAATATTCACCTTTCGGTATAATGTAGTACACTGGTGAGGTTCACTATCATATGGCCCCTGAATCTTCATCCAGCTGTCATGACGCTGCGTTTATTCATCGCTCCATCACAACAACGGACATTAACCTGTTGGAGTCCTTAAAGGGCGACGTGTGTAAGGTATTTTCCCAGGTACCAAAACGACAATGTCGCGTCTGCCGACGTCCACCTTTTTCAGTTACCTATAGGATATTTACGAAACGCTGCCTTCCCCACTTGATATGCATGGTTGAGGTGTTGTTGATATTAGATACGCCAGAAACCTAGACTGACATAAGCCTCTATTTTGTTTGAAACTAGTAATATTTGCAAATGTGAACAGATTTTTCCTTTTTCAGAAACAGAAGACATGTAGACTTGACTTGTGTTAATGTCTTGCTTGGAATTTGAGTTGGAAGGGTCCAGATACTTTAAGTACCTCTTCTCCTCATCTAACCTGTCTCGCAGTCCCTCAACCACATTATTTCCCCTACTGCCTTGCCCTCCCTTCAATGCTAAGGTCCTAAATGAGGCAAATCTAGATTTCCCCAGGTTCTGAATTTCCTATCTCATCGGGGTTTCTTTTCAATTTAAATACAGTTATTTGTTACGATAAAAATTATATGTATTCAGACTAAGCGTTAGTCTACTCCTCCCCATCTCCCCCACCCTGTGGTAATCTCTATACGTCCCCGACTCCTCTATTCTATATAGATCTAAGGCGTATACAAACTGCTTATAGCACAACTGCAGCCAAGCTGTATAAGCACAATTATCTCCACCAACAGTGGGTTCTATTTTCACTTCTCATTCACGTTTTTCCCGCATTTCAGTTGACGAGTGCATATAGGCTGGGTAATATAAGGTTTTACCCCATGTGTGAAAACGTGACTCATTTTCCATGTCGGGCAGTGAACTTATGCTAATATATGTGCTCCTTTGAAATACAAAGTACTCGTTGTTTGAAGGTGTCCGTCCTTTGTTCTGTCCCTCACGAATTCAACCAAATGTAAACTATTCTATTCACAGTTCGTGTTATGTAACGCATAGGATTACATGGAAACGTTGGCTGATGTTTGTTTCGTGATGTAGTGAGTGTATACCAGAACAGGCTTTACAAATTGTGAGTAAGTGAGTGAGTTTAGTTTTACGCCGCTTTTAGCAATATTCCAGCAACATCACGGTGGTGGACACCAGAAATGGGCTTCACACATTGTACCATGTAGGGAATCGAAGCCGGACCTTCGGCGTGACGAGCGAACGCTTTAACCAGTAGGTTACCCCACCGCCCCCGTTTGAACATGAGACACTGTCACTGTGCAATGAGGGTAAACAGTCAACGTCAGGTTTATGTGTGTATTACAATTTATGTTTGTAGACAGTCAGCGTTGGAAGAGATACAACTTGCTTTGACTGTATAGCATTCGTCAAGAGACTATATTGCCTGACTATTGGCTTACCCCAAATTTAAGATGAATTTCAATCTAAAAGCTAAACAATTTACACGGAAAAGGCGTGTCAGTGAAACTATTTAGTGTCGAGGCAGGACTAGTGAGTGAATGAGTTTAGTTTTACGCCGCAATATTCCAGCTACATGACGGCGGTCTGTAAATAATCGAGTCTGGACCAGACAATCCAGTGATCAACAGCATGAGCATCGATCTTCGCAATTTCGATGACATGTATCAACCAAGTCAGCAAGCCTGACCACACGATCCCGTTAGTAGGCTCTTACGATAAGCCTGTGTTGCCGAAGACCAATTCTAACCCGTATCTTCACGGGTCCGAGGCAGGACTAAAAATCAATGCATGCGAGACCGTTGGTTAGAGAGTCCCTTTAAAACTCGCAATGACTGCAAACTAACTGCCTCGAGCTTTCATAGTGTGCCTTTTTGTTAACCCAAATATTACTATGCATTTCAATCTAGAAGCAACTATTCAATAAATGACACAGAACTGTTGTTTCAGTTTCAATCCAAAACTATCTAATATTAAATGTGGAAAAAAACCCGGCAAGGACAGACCCTCTTTAAAATGTCAGTCAGTTGATGGAGACTTCCCTTGTACATTTGTATATTTATCGCGACAACCAATCCAGAAAGTTTACTAACCAACCCGTGCATGTAATAACCAAGTACCTATGGCAGACAATATCGATGATAGATACACGAAGATCAAAGTGTTTGAGATCGACATACCGTTATTTACGTCCGTCCGTCGCCTCTCCCGGAACTGTTTCTGACGGAGCTACTCAAAGTGATGACGGGCGTCATGCCTATTGCACTATGGCGGTAACAGGTGTAATATAATAAACGTCATTTCACACAGGTGTTAGGTTGTATGGAGGCTTCATCGTGCCACATCGGCTGCAAATGATATTTTCGCAAATATGTCGTTGTTTTCTTGTTACTTAAAATATACCGAACAGCATTAGAAACGCACTACACTTAAATGCACCGATGCTCAGATAGCATGGGTACATTTTAGTCTGACGGGGATATTTCGTATTATATGGGTGGTGCGTTTCTAATGTTGTTCAGTATATATTTTCTTATTGTCAGTTATTTAGTTTATCCCGAAAGCAAAAAAACTTAAAGTGTTCTTGTCCCTTTAGTTTACAGTTATGCTCTCGAAAAACTTAGAGCATATAGTAACAACTCTCATAATACTCCAAAATTCGTGAAATTCTCGAAATTATACGAAATAATCGAATTTAAGAATGAAATTGAAATAACGAGAAAATAATGGAAGTAACGTGAAAAAAACTCGAAATCTCAAAAATTTAATTTAAATAACGGGAAAAACAACGGAAGCATGGATTTCCAGTTTGAAATAAGGAATGGTTGGTTGGTTTGTTGTTTAACGCCGCACTCGGTAATATTCAAGTTGAGGAATGGACAATCGGAGACATCAACCGATATAACTGAATTTCCGTTAAAAAGATAAGTAGCACCATTAAGCTTTCGTAGTGTCGATATTATGTGTATGGTGCTGAATGGTCTACACGACAGTCACATTGATTTCAGCCAGGCTAGCTATTGTTAAACACGTCATCAAGTTTGTTCTACCGTTCGTGTTATCTGATATTGTTATCAGAGTTCTAATGGCGCCGTGTCTGCTATTATTCATGTGAGAAGCCAAAGTTGGAGTAGGATTACACGCAATCGTTGCTGAGAACCGCAAAATTACATTCAGTCGCCCCTTTGGAATGTGAGAGTGTTTAGTTTTACGCCGCTTTAGCAATATAACAGCAATATCGGGGGTTGGGGGTTACAGCTGTTTAAGAAAGTGAGGTGCAGGCTCTTGAGAATGGGGGATGCACACTTCATTTTCACGAGAGTTTCAATGGTCATTAATAAACTTTCAGGACAAGAGGATGCACCCCCACTCTAGATCCACCTATGAACCACGTCGGGGACACGATAACTACTTCACACATTGAACCTATGTGGGGAATTGAACGTGACGAGCGGTCGCTTTAATCATTAGGCTACCCCACTGCCCCATCACCTTAACGTCTTCAGCGATTGAATATATTTTATGTCGTTTCAGCAGCATTTCATCTAGATCAGAAGATTGGACCAGACAACAAGTGCCTGAAATCAAGAACAACTCTACTGTATACGCCACTTGGGCAAGGTGACACGTAATCTGTCCCGTCAGCAAGTCTGACCATCACTGATTTTCTCGGCTATCTGTATTCATGTGAGCCTATGGACAACCTGGAAGCCGTATCGCACATAACACAGATAGTCGTGCAAATATCAAAACTATCAAGTACCCTCAAATTTCAAATACAAATCTCTAAAGAAAACTACATTAACAAGGGGGAGATAACTTTACGGATTTTATGGCGATACATTCAGTTTAGTCAGGAATTGTTCATGACGGGAAAGACGAATCCAGGCTAACGAAGATAACTAGCTACTCCCAGTGAATGAGTTTAGTTTTACGCCGCTACAATATTTGAACAGTGTCGCAGCAGATGACACCAGAAATGGGCTTCACGCATTGTACCCATGTGGGGAATAGACCCAGTGTTTGCCCCGCCCCTGATCACACCAGGATGCCAACCCAAACCATTACAAACACCTGCCACTTGAACTTATGGAGACTTACATTTGCGCAATCATACGACAGGCAAATACCACTATTCATCTCCCCCATTCATACTTAGTCCTTTGTTAATTCCAAACCAAATTACTATGTCATTTTTTTCAAAAAAAACTGGAAGCTGTTTGCACTTTAAGGAAATGTATGCTCCTACAATACTGGTTTAACTGGAATAAATTGTACAAATAAACAAATTTTAGTCTTCTTGTATGATGAAGCTGATCAAACTAACCATCCTCTTCTTGACAACTGGGATCCTTGGTGAGCCTTGATGCTATATCCTGCCAATAAAACACAACTCTTTGCATACTTTTCCAACAATCATGTATCATTCATTGATGACAAAAGCATATCCATTTATTCACAAAACATTATGTCAATAATTTGTCAATGTTTACATTACAAAACATGATGTTTGTTGTGAGAACATGGCACTTCATATCACCAAGTAACAGTCTCAACACATCACACATCTTCCAATATCTGAGTAGGTGACTCCAGCAGCGGTTCAGGGAAGAATTTGCCTCCATCAGATCTTTCATATTTGGAGAAAACAGCAGGATGACATACATAAAGGCTGACTGATGCCAGGAATTTCTAAAGCTTAAAAACCTACAATAATGTTTACTAGAAATTATAATTCCGAGTTACGTTGAGCAATGATTAAAATTTCGGAATACTGACATCAGGCAGAAACATCACACACCTGTTATCTGTCAAAATGGTGTATGTTGGTAATGATAAAGAGAGGACTGAAACCAGTAACCTCAAATCTTCAGACGCTGGTCTTTTATTTATTAACAGAATCTCGAGGAGGAAAGTCAGTTTCACTGGAAATACGTAGACAACATGGCGTAGATGCTGGCACTGTGTTATCACATCATGTGAGTGCGCCTTCTATACAGTACAGCTGGTGAATCTGTTTACTCTGAACAGATCCAAGATTCCTGAAAAGACAAAAGGTGCATATTTTAGAGTAACAATATTATTTTATACTTATCCTGACTCATTATTTGCTTCTATTTCCTTTAACCCCAGGCATAGTTGAAACAGTCTGTGACCCCTAGAACAGTAAAACATCTAACAAACCCCTCCACTGCACACGTGTACCGGCTCCCCATGTGACCAGCCGGAGAGTAGTCACCCCTCTGTTTTCGCCCAACGAGAGAGTTGGGTAAATTTTGCCTATGTTCTTACTGACCAACTTGTAAAATGCCAATCAAACAGATAAGAAAACTCCCAAAACAAAACTCAAAGAAAACTCAACACCCACCACTAAGACCAGTTGTGTTTCCAGAAACATTTAACCTGAGTGAGTGAGTTTAGTTTTATGCCGCTTTTAACATTATCCCAGCAATATCACTGCGGGTACCCATGTGTAGAATAAAACCTGTGTCTTTGTAGTGACAAGCGTGTGCTTTAACCACTAGGCTATCCAACTGCCCCACATTTATCCTGAAACCCAAGAACATAGTTGTTATGTATCATAAGCTGTGATATTACCTCATTCCTTTGCCAGCTTTAATGGTGGCCAGCATTCCTTCCTTCTCCTTCTGGGAGAAGCATCGGTCATACGCTTGGAAGATACTGCAAGACAGACCAAACTGTTGTGTCAGTTTTGTGTATTGTACTATTGGCTAAACAATTTGACCAATTGGATCCTAAAGGAGTGTAGGAGTCAGTGAGTTTGGCTTTACATCGCTTTTGGCAAAATTTCAGCAATCTTGCTGTGGGGATACCAGATACGGGCTTAACAAATTGTACTAATGTGGGGAAATATAGATGGGTCTAGCATGAAGAGCGAATGCTTTACCACTAGATTACCCCCACCTTTGAAGCAAAAGGCACATTTTGATAATATTAATAAACACCACTGAGCCCACAAGCTGCAAGTTACAAGTGAAAATAGTTTTATATGATATATCTCCTGTTTGTTCAATGCACAACCATATCCAGTGTTTCAGATGTGTTAATTGTCTTGGAAAATGGCTGACTGGAATTAAAAATGTTCCGCAGATATTTTGCATTTAGCTTCCCTGAAGACCATGATGTTGTGACCTCACTTACCCCTAATGAGAAAAAGCAACCAAAACGATCAGTCTCACTTCGTAATGGATCATTGAAACAGGTTTATTTCACATGGACAGGTGCGATTTACAATATATGTTTACATTTATTGCAAAAATTTGGTCTTACTTTATTTTGTAAGTCTGGAGTAACATGATCTCACAATGAAACTATGTTGCCGAATCCCATTCTGCTGACCAAATAGTACAAGCGGCACAAGTAAGTAATTTGACACTTAGACAGGAGTTGTGTTCCTTGATCAGTATGATAGTGAGTGAGTGAGTGAGTGAGTGAGTGAGTGAGTTGAGTTTTACACTGATTTCAGCAATATTACGGCGGGGGACACCAGAAATGGGCTTCACACATTGTGCCTATGTGGGGAATCGAACCCAGGTCTTTGGTATGATGAGTGAACACTTTAACCACAAGGCTACCCTACTGCCTGCATGATAAAGAAGAATACCAGTCATGCATATAGATACCTCAATCACTGGATGCCACCATATTAGCTCACCTTGTTGGGGTAGGGTATCTGTCTGTGATGGCTTTGGCCTTGTCTGCTGACATCCCATGTAACTGAACCAGCTGTTTACCGAACAACTCCCGTACTGTCAGATCCTGAAAAGTACAGGTAATTTCACAAACTATTTTACAGCCAATTAAATATTCATTGTTCATGATTGCACTGATAACAATAGAGCACAACTAATTGGCACCATGCCTTTCCTTGGTGTGATATTTCCTACATTTCTATGTAATTGAGGTTTCAAGATAACAATGATAAGTGAGCAGTGATTAAATGTCATCATATTCCACATCTAGAAACAAAATCGAAAGCCCATTGTGCTGCCGGTTTGAATTATTTTTCACTTTAGTAAGACCCATGAGCATGGTTATGCTACTGACAAACAGAGGAAACAAACTGTAAGATTTGAACCACAAATCACTGGATCAGTCATGTCTTGGACACTTTGTTGTGTTGTCTTCAATGGTTATCTTCCCATGAGTTAGCTCCCTTGTCTCAGGTGATGTTGCTGTCATTAGGTGATGGATTTCCTTAGGTGCAGTTTGAAACTCAACCATAAAATGTTCAGACATGAGGTAGCCAAAAAGTTTCTTCATGAAAACTTTTGTAGCAAAGGATTTGGCACCACTGACATCATTAAAACCCTGTCCACCACTGTTGCACAGCCAGTGAGTTCTACCTACACATGTTGGCGTGTTGTCGGTACTGACCTTGCTCTTAACAGAGGCATAATTAAAATGCTGGAATGTTGTGAGAAGCTTCTCGGATTCTTCAATGTGGAAACTGCCATCCAGTTCGCGTAGCATCTCTGGTGTACAAGCCTGGAGAGACTTGGTCTGAAGATATCATGATATGAGAGTCAGTGAGCGAGTATGGTTTTATATTCCAGCAATATCATGGCAGGGGACACCAGAAATGGGCTTCCCAAATAGTACCATGTGGGGAATCGAACCGGGTCTTCAGTGTGACGAGCAGACGCTTTAACCACTAGGCTACCCCACCACGCTTCATGATGATAAGAAGAAGAAATAATAGTGACTGATTGAGATAGTGGTGGTGGTGGTGGTGGTGGAATTGGGTTTAACGTCGTGCATGAGAATATTTCGCTCATATGACGACGTGCATGCGTGTGAATGTGTATGTGCGGCTGCTTGTACTAGCCAAGACTAAAGCTGGTTTTATAGTGCTAGCCCACTGTGATACCATGCCGCAGTGAAGCATGAATACCACACTCAGACACATACTGACTCTAAGCTGACCAGTCCTTGATGTACCCATTAATGCCGAGCGCCAGGCAGGGACCAACAAGTACCATATTTTAACGTCTTCTGAGATGACGCGGTCGGGGATCGAACCCGCGACCTTCCGCACTCCGGGCGGACACTCTACCCACTACACAATGGAGGCGGTGATTGAGATAGTGAGCTTTAATGCCACTTAAAACAGTATTCAAATGAAATTGTGACTGATGATGTTGGAAGAGATGCATGTTTTAAACATTTACAGAACACTGATGCTACATACCCTGTAGAAGCCCTGTAGATACCTGGTCATCACAGTGAGGTAGGCCACGGTCTCCTTGACACCACTCGTCCTCTTGATCTTGAAGCCATCAATAACCTGTCAACATAGCCACCAATAACCTGCCACTTCATGTTCAGTCAATCTGGGCCCTTGTGATTGTTTGCTTTGACGGCACTAATTCATTAAGTGCCAAACTAACTACTAAGGGTAAGGGTATACCTTGAATACTAGGGGTGTCACGATTCGGTTCGGATCATCGATAATCAAATCGATAGATGTACGATTCGATCTTGATTTCAAATGCATCCATTTCGATTGGATTCATAAAGTACTTACTTTCTAATACTGAGAGTTTATTTCACCTGAAATCGAAAGAAATTATGTTGAAAATTCACTGCTACAAGTGTGGCCAGTGAGAGGGTATTGTAAGTGCCCAGAGGGCATGTCTTTCCAGTGTAAATTCCTTGCACAGTGAAAATTCCAAATGCACAATGAATTACAGTCACAATGAACACTTAACACCAGAGTTCGTGACTGAAACGTAATGTTATGATCACTTGTTCAGTGAGTATTTGTTGACAACTTGTCTTGACAGTGTTCTAATTGTGCATTGTGCGAATATTCCAAAGTTTGCCAAACTAAACTGATATTACAACAAATTTGACTTTTTATTATTATTATAGGATATTTATATAGCACATATCCATGCAACTAGTGCATGCTCAAGGCACTGGACTTTGTCCTCAGCTTTGGTGAATCGAATCGAAATTGATCGAATCGAACAAATTGAATCGATAATCGTATCGAATCAAAGTGAGAGTGAATCGTGACACCCCTATTGAATACATACATTCCTTTTAACATATGGCTTTAGCTTCATCGGCTGTCCCAGTGGTTTTCATCTAAATTTAAGGTTATAGGATTATCTTCAGTACTGTCTTGCAAGAACTCCACCAATATAACATCAACTATCTTTGTAAATTGATCATGAGTTTGGGAAACAAAATGAACTGTTGCCTTTACTTTGTATCTGATGAATGAGTGCGTGAGTGTGGTTTTACGCCACTTTCAGCAATATTATCATGGCAGGGGACCAGAATAGGGCTTCAAACATTGTACTCATGAGATCCTTGGGGAATTGAAGCTTTGACGAGACATCCGAATGTTCTAACCTCTAGGCTTCCCCACTGCCCCTGTATCTGATGATGAAATGCTTAATGTAAGTCCACTCTATGAGGACATGTGTACTTTTATACAATATGGAATTGAACTGACAAGTGATCATTAGAGGTTACTAGACAAAAATTCAGGATACAAGTGGAAGTAAATTTTTTACCATGAAACTTTTAAAATATTATTAAAATATAAATATTTTAGATATTTAAATACTTACCTTACCTCATGGTAATGTGCATATTACCTTTGCTCATCCGATACAAAGATTGGAAACGTGATCGATAAGTATCCTTGTTGAATGCTTTCATGAAACTGGTGACGTGTCGATCTCGTCCGGCGAGCGGAAGCATGCCCCCCAATCCCGTCATGTGACAACGAGAACACGTCACTTTATCCGAATCCTGAATGCTTCCGGATGAAGCATCCACTCTGTTGGGGATGGCTTGTCTGGTCAGGACAGAGCGTCTGCCAAGACGTTCCTGCAGCCAAGAATGTGACGAGCTCTGATCTGGATGTTGTTGTCGTCCAGAAGGCGAAACAAACAAAACGTTTGATTCAAGAGAAGACCCAAGCTGGTTGTTCCCTGGTTGCGGATCAACCAGACCACTGTCGAGCTGTCCGATGCCACCAAAAGCTTGGAATCCAGTGCTGAATGGCTAAGATGACAGCCTGAAGCTCTAAGAGGATGAAAGGCAAGAGGAACCATTGAAGTGGTCTGAGCATTAATCTCCCTCTGGTGGTAAGATCCTGAGCCGACGTCAACAGACCTAGTAGGAACTGCCATTCCCTGAGTGTAAGCGGGGATGATAGACCCTGCTGAGCAAGACTGAGGATTCTTTGCCATCTGTCCGGTGGAACCCGCAGAAGGTCTTGATCTGTCAGGAACAAACCCCCTATGAAAGTCAGCTGTTGAGATGACTCTAGGTGGGTCTTCTCGAGGTTGACGATCCAACCAATTGGGGGAAAAGCTTGAGTGTAAAGTCCCTCTGTCTGGGTAGCAGCAGGCGCTTGTACTTGGGTTTGCCGGTCTTGCCCAAGTCCTTTTGGTTACCGGCGGGACGACGTTGAAAGTTGTTGGGACGTCCCCTGCACGCCCTCTAAAGGCTCCACGAACCGACGTCCTCCTGGATTGGTAAAGGTTGGTGGTCCTGGTAGCTGGCGCTGACAAAGTGGCGAAGTGACAAACAGATCAAAGCGCAATCTCAGTTTGGGTCAAGGAGGCGTGCTCTGAAAAGACATCCGGGATCTTATCGGCGAATAAGGTGGGAGCCGCAAACGGGGCACGCGTCAGTCTTTTCTTGAATTGCTCCTGCCAGGTACAGGGAGCGAGTAACCCAGTCCTCCTAGTCACAGTGGTGGTAGCTAAGGCCGAACAAACGTGATCCACCACATCAGACAGAACTCTAGCCTGCCACCTAAACATAGTGGTAAGATGATCTAACCGGGAAGGGTTATCCTCCGAGAGATCTTGAGACATGGCCTCCTTGTCCGAAGCAAGCACAGAGAGGGGCTTCAAGGTTCGACGGAGTTCCGTATCAATCGCCAGCAACTTGGCATCTGGGACCTTGTATTGAGCTTGAGAAGCGTCCAACAATCGTTTGGCCGCTTCATCTTGTGTAGCGCCAAAATCCACAAAGTCAAAAGAATGCACCTTGTAATCCTGACGGCAATGTTGAGCAGGCTTGATGGAGGGATTGAGAGATAACTTTTGGAAATCCTCGTCAAGTGAAGCAATGGCGTCAGCAACCATGGGATGCGGTGGCAGAAGGAGCTCTGGTTCATCCCAAATGGAGGTAGCACGAGGAATGTCCGAACCCTGGAGACGGGCAAGTGATAAGTCTGTCAGCTATCCAGGCGTAAACACTCTCCATGCCCAAGTGCGTCAGACCCTGGTTGTCTTCTTTCTCGTAATCTGGAACAAACTGAGGCTCTGACACAAGAGACAAGGAATCTTGCGACCTAAACAAAGGTGATCGGGAATGTAAACGCCGATGAAGAGGTGAAAGTTGTCTCCAAGGCGAACGCCTGAGGGAGCGCGGTGGTGAACGCCGAGGAGAGCACCTAGGTGAACGGGAATGCTGAGGCGAACATCTAGGAGAAGAACGCCGAGCGTCACACTCTGTTGCGCGCTTGGGAGAACGCCGAACGTCCCGTGCAGGTCAACGGCTTGGTGAAGGTTGAGGGGAGAGTTGAGGGGAGCGTTGCCGATCCGTGGGCAAACGCTGGTCATATCCGGAAGGTGGACGATCAGAGGAGCGCTGATGTCCTTAGAACGATCATCTGGGCGCAGCGATCCTCTCGTTCCAGTAAACCAACCAGGAGCTCCATAAGCCGGGAATCCTGAAGAATAGATGGAGCGCCTGGATTCACAGCATTGTCGATCTGGGCCTGTGTGAGTAGGCTCGCTCTGGAGCTTTCCTGGAGATGAGGACTGGCGGGGAGGCGAAGTCGTAGATCGCCGATCCTCTGAAGGCGTAGAGGCGTTCCCAAGCTGAGCCATAGGCGTCGAAGGAACCGGAGCAGTCTCAGAGGCGTTGTTAGAAGACATGAGGTGCTTGTGTTGAGTAAAACATTTGTTCCGAGCAGCTAGGAGCTCTTTAAAGTTGGTGGAAGGTAGGTGCTGGCAAAACGAGCACCGAGAGGTCCAAGTACACGCTGAGTCGACCAGACAATCCGGGCAAGCAGAATGGGGGCCTTTAGCCGACTTCTGAGACTTCTGTATACACACGCTTACCCATATAAGAAAAGAAACGCCGACAACTTAATGCGACAGTGAAGAGAAAAAACGGCGGGAAAAGCGGAAAACGAAACTAAACGACAACAGTGAGCACACACTATAGTCCGTCAACTGAACTTTTGGCACCCTGTTTTTCACAATTTACCTTTTAACCAAAAATGCCTTCAAAATGTTTTTAGGCATACGCTCTTTATATCTTATGACCTATCTGAGGTTTAAATTTCATAATTTTATGTCAATTATTAAAGCTTGTTCTTAAGAAGCCATCTTATAAAAATATGAAAATATAGAAGTAGTTATACAAGGGAGTAAAATGATACGATGGAACAGCAAACAACATGGTGTGACAAACGTGCATCTTGTTTACATTGTTATGCCTGCAAGCAAATCTAAAGGGACTGTATAATCATCACAAATCCATTTTAAACAAGTAGATTTATTGAAGTCTTTAAATACTGGTTGCTGAGATTGAGCAACAGCTTGCATATGGTATGCTTTGATACATTGATGTCATGGTCTTCTTTTGAACAATATTTTCTTCAGTTTGCTTGACGATATGGACTCACTGGATCGATGTAACCGACGCATGACGTCCCTCACAACCCTTCTATTGAATTCATCAAGCTATCTTTTCTTTGCATGTTTTGAGAAGGTCCCCGATTTAACTGTCATGTCATCGTCAGTCTCTGAAATATTGTCATTGGAGATAACTCTTTGCTATGTTCTTTTGCAGATCTTGGTGGCATTAAGTGTCTTTTGGAGAAACACTCAATTGCAAAAAGAGGGTTTTTTTTCGCTTTGCCTTGCGCTTGAAACAGTTGTGAACACTTTTGATGATTTACCGGTTATCTTTGTACAACATCGTTTTTACCACAATCTGTGTGTTGACAATCTTTGACATCACTTAAGCGTGCTAATGTAAATACCCGTGCATGTACATATCACGTTGACATACATTTTACAATGTTGTTGGCTTTTCCATCCCGTGCGTTAACTCCTCGTAAAACTCTCCACAGTTTTACAATTATTATGTGACAGGTTAAAGGTAAAAATCTTTAATAATCGTTTTAGAATTACTAAAATCGATATCTTGTTAGGTCACGGTATACAATTACCATATGAACAGAGTAGCGTTTTAAAAAATTCAGGAGTTTTATGTAAATTGTTAAAAACATGGTGCCAAAAGTTAAGATGACGGACTATAGTAGCTCTACATGTATGTGCCACGCCTAGCAACAGCCGCCATTACTGCCAAGCATGTGAAAACCTCTACGAGGAGAAACACACAAAATATGACACAAAGAAAGAGAACAAGATACATACAATGGTCAAGCAAGGACAAAAACAACCCAGACTGACCAAAGAAGTACCTAATTCTGCCGAAGCGAAGCTGGATAAACAACGCGAAGCAAAACAAAGCAAAACAACACGCGAAGACCATACAGTGAGAAAATGAGAAAAAAACAGCCAACGGTGAGTAGACTTTTCGTTATATCATGGTAGAAGGATACAATAGGAAAACCTTACCGTAGCAAAACACAAAGAATACAGTAATGAAAACAGAAATATCCTATACACTTCGATACACGTCCAACTCGCAGTGTGATAAAGGATAAAGTGACGTGTTCTCGTTGTCACATGATGGGATTGGGGGCCAGTCACCAGTTTCATGATAGCATTCAACAAGGATACTTATCGGATTTCCAAACATTTTTTATCGGATGAGCAAAGGTAATATGCACATTACCATGAGTAAGGTAAGTTACAAAAATTCAGTTTTATCTCACAAGAAAAAGGTGATACTGGGTCTAAATTGTGGAAATACATACCACAGGGAAGGATGGCGTTGACATATCAGAAAGATATGCAGACAGTAATTATTTCTCAGTTATTATTACACAATGTAATAGTGAGTGAGTGGGTGAGTGAGTGAGTGAGTGAGTGAGTGAGTGAGTGAGTGAGTGAGTGAGTGAGTGTGTGTGTGTGTGAGTGAGTGAGTGAGTGAGTGAGTGAGTGAGTGAGTGAGTGAGTGAGTGAGTGAGTGAGTGAGTGAGTGAGTGAGTGAGTGAGTGAGTGAGTGAGTGAGTGAGTGAGTGTTGTTTTCACACCACTTTCAGCAATATTCCAGCAATATCATGATGAGGACACTGAAAATGAGCTCTGGCTTTGACATAACTAGCAAACAATTTTTCATAAGCAAAAAAACAACTGGCAAGTTATTATATACATGTCTGTGACCACCTATGTGTACTTGCTCACCTGGGTGTTGACCATGGCTTGCTTTATCCTGTCTTCAGCGATGCTGAAGTGCTGCAGTGATCCGTAGTCCTCTATCAGATAGATGGCGTTGGCAATGCCGCTACGCTTCAGGCGGAACTGAAGGACATAGTTACATTTAACATTCAAACTCCAGTACCACACATAATTTTGTGCACTGGCTAATGTGTTTTAGTCTCATCCCTGTAATAAAATACAACATGCTGCATAGGCTCTATCCTTATATTCTCAGCAGGTGTTAGGAGAGCCACAATTCGATATGAGTGAACAACAAAGGCCATGAACTGCAAAAAATAATTGTTAGAGTAAAGGTATTACTTATCTCTTCATTGATTATTGAACAAACCAAACCTAAACGAATTATTTGACACACAACTGGTTCACCTTCTGTTCTCTGAACCTGCCATCTATCATGCTGCTGACAAGGTCATCCATCCTCTTCCTCTCAACAATGAAGTCCAGCACAAGTTCTCTCCCTTTGGGCCTCTGCAGCTGCCCTGATGGAAGCAAACACAAGCATGTCAGGGTACTGTTCTACAAAGGGAACACAAGTTACAATAGTCTGAGCTCCAAGATCGCCTTGTGGCACAGAGCCCAGGATCTTAGTCTCAGTTAATATAGTGTGTTATCATCAGTACATTTGTAAAGCTTTGTCGACACACATCACATATCTCAGTAGTAAGGTAATAAAACAGTACATAAATAACAATGATTGGACACATTTTATCATCAAAGGGAACACACAGAACCAATATACTATTTGTGTGTTTAACATAAAAACTTTACTGCAGTCTCCAGGGGGGTCACCAGTTTTCACAGACTGAATTGGATACGAGAGCTTCAAACAGTCCATGTCAGATAAAAATGAGATAAGAACATTCATTAAAAAGTCTCCCTCAAATTAATTACGAAAATATTGACATAACTAATTTTCGTATGTGTTCCTATTTGTGATAAAGGCAAGATACATTTATATTCTATAATGTTTGCTTGCCAACAGCATAAGAATCTATACCAAACTGTCACAGCATAATACATGAGAAGCCTTGCCCAGAGTATGGATGGGACTTTCCTTGTTTGGACAGTACAGTTTGCATGCCGCAAAGTCCAAAATTCCATTGGTTATAATGATTTAAACAGAGATACTTTATTTTCCACATGAGAACTGAAGGGATTAAGATTTTTGAATGCTTCCTAATCAAAACTAATCTTGAATACAACAATTAAGTACCATGATAAGTAAATTAAGACACTAAATGAGCGAGGGACATAGGATTCACCTTTACATTGCTTTTAGCAACATTCGATCAATATAGCTGGCAAAGCCAGAAATGATTGTATCCATGTGGGGAAAACTTCAATATGACAAATGAATGCTTTAACTAGGCTACTCTACTGTCACCAGCTAAACAGTTGAGACAAATCATGACAGGCTCAGCGCCACACAACCCACCTGGCTGGGGCAGCACCTTCTCTCGGGCTATCCACAACATGTCCCCGATCTGCAGTTCTCGCAAGTCGCACTCCACACCGTTCTTAATCAGCTCTGGCAGCAGTGTCTTACTCTGTGACTTGCTCCTGCAACAAGATGCTCTTTAACAACTGCCCAACCTGAACATATTGCTTCTTTGCAGAAACTGATGAAGTAATTCAGGTAATAAAAATGGGCAATTAATGCGTCGAAACAACGAACACTTTAACCACAAGGCTACCCCACCGCCGCAGATGGTAATGAACTCAGTACCAACCCTCCATAGAACTCGCGGTTGTCCACACACAACACCACATCAAAGGACCCAGGGGTGAGGGTGAAGTTTGGGGGTGGCAGGCTGGAACCAGCACTGGTGAGGGATGAAGCTTGGGATCCTGCTGTGGAGGATGCTGGTGCAGGGTAGATGTCGGACAGCGTCTCCTCCTCCACCAAGTGCCTTGACATGCCAGGACATGGGAAGGTTGACTTTAACGTGGGAGCAGTCTTATCTACTCCGGGTTGTCGAGAAGAGGATGTGACAGAGACAGCAGAGGTGTGAGAACTGTGTTGAAGTGTTTCTTGGCCACAAAGTGAAGGGTCTGCTCTCACAGCACTTCCTAGGAGGAGATCTCGTAATGAGCTACTGTTCGACAGTGTTGAACTACTTGGGTTTGCTATTTTCTTTGTCTTTGAAGCTAAAACAAAGTGAGAAAAAGACTTCAGAAGTCATATGCAGATCAAAAACTAACTGGCTTGCAGTCTTGGAAGAAAGTATTGTCATTTTGCTAAAATTGATCAGTGCAATACCAGTCACCTTCACCAAGCCATAATATCAGCTACAACTTAATGACATGATTGGGCAATTAACTTCAATTTCAGAATATTCTTTGGAGACTTGATACTGATTATCTGCCTCTGGGCAGGTCTAGATAAATCTCTGATGTGGTAACCGTGGTAACAGACCTCTAGATTTGGGCTTGGCTGTTGTGTTTTTCCCTGGTTTCAAAGACTCTTCGGGAGGTGTAGCCAGGTCATCTGTGTCACGGTCACATATGTAGGCGTACACAAAGTCGTCCCCTAGCCGTCTGCAACAACAGGCAGCCATGATACATACTGGGACAATAGTGATCATAGTTGAATACAACTGTACTTGTACTGAGATTTAAGGAAACTTCAACTGATGACCTAGTTATGTATATGACCAAATCTATTTGATGTTCACTAACTTTGAGAGTATAGGTGAAGTGAGGTGAAATGGGGTTTAACGTCATACTTAAGAATATTTTGCTCATATGATGACATGCATGTGTGTGTATGTGTATGTGCGGCTGCTTGTACTAGCCCAGACTTAAGCTGGCTTTATAGTGCTAGCTCACTGAGATACCATGCCGCAATGAAGCATGAATACCCCACTCAGACACATTATACTAACTCTGAGTGAGTGAGTTTAGTTTTACGCCACACTCAGCAATATTTCAGCTATATGGCGGCGGTCTGTAAATAATTGAGTCTGAACCAGACAATCCAGTGATCAAATGCATGAGCATGGGTTACTGAAGATCAATTCTAACCCAAACCTTCACGGGTGATACTGACTCCGAGCCAACCAGTCAATATTGTACCCATTAATGCCAAGCGCCAGGCTGGGACCAACAAGTACCATATTTAAACGTCTTTTGATATGACGCAGCCAGGGATTGCACCTACTACCTTCAACTCTCTGGGCGGACGCTCTAACCACTACACCATGGAGGCTGTCTTTGAGAGTTTTGACTGTGAGGAGCACACTCATGGAATATCTTTGAAATCAAAGTAAATAAAAGTCAAAGTTTCTGACAAGCTTTGCTTAAAGGTAAAATAGATGAACAACATAAATTCTGCAGTCAGTGGCCCACAGAACGTCAAGAAACTTTCAAAACATAAAACACTTACTTTGTCGTGTCAAGCTTGTATTTTTTGCCAGACTCAATTAAACTCTGGTGATTGCACTTCACCAGGAAACCTATTGATATCACATCTGAAAATACAGAACTAGCTTCAGTACAAACAACAGATTCTGATGATACACAAGTTCATTTCACAGTGAATACCAATGTCAACAAATCTTCTGGCATACCACCACAATGAGAAAAATAAGAGTCATACGTACTTACATAAGGTGTGTGCAAGGCCCTGATCTCGACACTGCTGGCTTCTATTTGAGTGCATTAAACTCTATAGCAGAGTGGTTACAGACAATGATAATTCATTTCCAGAAAATGGATTTAGAATTACAGGGAAAATTTATGAAGTATAAGAAATGGTGATAAATCACTATTGTCGAGACAGTGAGAGATCCATATTATCGGGTTCCTTACTATCAGGGTATGACTGTATATTCTCTTACCTTGAGATATATTGTCAGATTGATAAGTTGTGTGAATTCATACCATCAATGAGTACAGCAGCTTCCTCCTTCCTAGTTACCAGACGAAGATCCTCGGTCACATACCAGTACCGTAACCTGGGACACAAGCAAGCTAAAGGTTTTATAGCCCAAGAGTGAGGATATGTGTGAACGATTTACAAAAATTCAACTTTGTTTCTTTCATTTAAGATACAATAAATACCCTTTGCAGCTTTCAGTACTTCAAAACTGTTTTCACATTTTAACAATTTGATAAACTTAAACATATTTATGGAAACGTGTAAACGCAATTCGGTACTTCATAACATCAATATTAGTTAAATATTTCTCAATGCACAGAGTTTCCTTAATATGAAGATACAATCTAGTTTCACTCAGAGTTGATAATTGATGTTTCCACATTTGAGAATAAATATCCTTAACCCTTTGTGTAAATTCTCACACAAAATCACAACTTTCAGGAACATATTGGGCAACCCAAATATAGCCAAAACCAAACCTGAAGAGTGTATCTCTCAATAAACTTGCCCAATTTTCAACATCAGGGTTATCATTTGAACTATTCAATAATGAATTATATATCAAAACTATATATCTATCTGGTTTACTTCTCAAAATCTTAAGCCAATATTTGATAGTCCTGACAAGACGAATAACTTTCAAAGGGAATGTACCCAATTCTCCATATGAGAAAGTTGATGGAGTTGACATTTTGACATGTAATATGTGTTTCATAAATTTTAAGTGTACCCTTTCGATAGCCTTAGCTTCCATAAAGCCCCAAACTTCACAACCATATGAGAGAATCGAAGAAACAACTGATTAGAATAACTGATACTGAATATCTGGGAGTAATGTATTCACTGATTATCATTGAATATATTCTGAGCTTCTGTGACACAAGTATTAACTGAGATCTTTAAATCCACCCCCAAAGCCTATACTCAAAAACAAAAGTGTACAGAAACAAGAAAAATAAAACACATTAATAGATTGATTCCATACAACTTTGTATAACCATAAATTCCTCCAACTGGTATCTAGTAAAAAATAATTACAATCTTACGTGGTAGCTGTTGACTTCATGGCTGAAGGGAGTACTGATGGAGTCGTCTCCCCTTCACTGTCCGACATGGCATGACTTGTAGGCTGGCGCGCTGTGTTCCTAAAGGACTGAGCAGTTGTCTCCCCTTCACTGTCGGACATTGCATGTAGAGATGGCAGCTGAGGGGGGATACGAGAGGGCAGTGGAGGTACACGGGCATTTGTGCTGGACGCATTGGTCATCTCCCCTCCATTGTCCACGACCTCGAGACGGTGAGCCAACTCACACCCTGTGTCTGTCAAACTGTATCTAGAAACAGTCAGAAAAGGTATAAAGTGAGTGAACAAGATGTTGTCAATATCCCAATTACATCTGTGCATCATACAAATGTTAATTCAGGCTGGGGCAGACGACAACCTATTTCAATTGTGAAAACTCTCTTCTGTTACAAGGTGTGGCAATAACTGTGCATGATAACTTCTTATCCCAGCATTACCTTACTGCCAAAAATGCAGATGCTAATTCTGGTCACATTATCCCATTAAATCAGGCCTATATTTACTAAAAATGCAAGTAAAATACAACCTGACCGATACCAACAACCTCCTAATATATGCAATAGCTGGACTGCATGGAAAACAAAAATGTCCAAAAAATTGCACAATAAATATAGTAATTTATCATGACCTAAATTATAAGGTTATGTTTTGTTATTTGTTTAATTCGCCAGCAATATTCTAGCTAGATGACATCAGCCTGAACATAATGATAAGAAATAAATAAGAAATAATCAAATGACAGTTTCAGCCATATGACGGCAGTCTGTAAATAATCTGGACCAGACAATCCAGTGACTGACATCATGAGCATCAAACTTCGCCATTGTGATAAGACAACATACATCAATCAAGACATATAGCCTGACCATCTGTTTGATGCCTCTTAGGACAAGCAGCGGTTGCTGAAGACCAAGACCACGACACACACATATTCACATAAAAGTGACCCTGCCTATTCTGGAATATTCCATTGTAGCACCTACCTTGCTGGACTGCTCTCCTTAATGATGAGCCCCTTTTTGATCAGCGTGCCCATCGAGGACCAGGACGTGTAGCGGCAACCAGGATCGGCCTGTTCAAAGATTCATGATGAATACCTCCAGTAGTCTGAATATTGAACAGAAGCCATCCAATAGTTTTCAACTAACGTTCACCCTCCAATATTTCTTGACGAAAATTGTAAACCAAAAGCCACTGTGTTCTTTAATCTGATTGGTTGAAAAACGTGATAAAATGGTATTCGATTCCCGGAACTTCGCTGCGTATTAATACAAACATCGCTCACACCATTGTATTGTTACATCGTCAGCTGTGATGACATCATTAAAATCATATTGTGAAGTAAAGTCCGAATGACGTCACAAATGAGCAGTTCGACAGCCGAAACGGCCGTCTGATGACATTTCACTGCTGTACACGTACTCAATGTCAATGAGGGCAGACACAAAAACGTGTGTGGACCTTCTGGTTTACTTTTGTGTTTACAATGTCGATAAACATTATGTGTTGGCCAATATCCGGGTGTTATTGAGTATTTGAAGCACGGGAATTCATTTGGAACCGACGGCGTTTTCTAGCATCTGTGCACATGCACATTGAGTTGACATTGGTTTAGCCTTCAATCAGCCCCATGTGAAAAGATGATTGCAAGTTTTCAGATCATCTCCTACACTAACAAGTCAAGGTTAATGTCCTAAGTGAATGTTGTGGTTATATCTGATCCGGTTTGAACACAAAACCATGTCTCCTGCACAGATGGACATCCATGTATACATTACCACTGAAAATGACTTGTCAGCCAGAGGCTGGGCTGCTCTCACGATCTCAGACTTTGTCATGAAGCCCCTGGTGTCTGGGTCCTAGGATCAAGTTTTATTAAACTTAGAAAGCAAGCACTGAAAATGAGCATGATGAATTTCTGTATATCAGCAATAGGGCTGCAACGATTTGGTTTGATTTATCGAAAATCGAATCTGACACCTTAGTTTAGATTTTCAATAACCATTATCACTTTCGATATTTGAATACCTATATAAATTATTTCCACACAGCCAGAACGTAATTTTAACTCCAACTTGAGCAGTTTGCAGGGCTGAAATAAGTCGAAACGTGACTGGTTGACGCCAGGCTAAATAATAAAATGACAATTGTTGTTAGTAGACATTGCCAAGTTGACAATGGATTTCATGATAAAAAAAGCCGTCCCTGAGAGTTAAATGAATTCTGATGTTTTTACTTGTATGAAGAATAAAATGGTAAATGATTGAATCGAGGGTCCAATAGTGGTGGTCCGATTAATTGAAATAATCGAAGATTGGTCGTAGTGACTAAACGACCAAGCAATCGATCACAATTTCTCATAATCGAACACAACCAATTCTGGAACACTTGTTTTCATAACAATATTTTTCACATGGTTGGTTTTGTCTGTTACATTTCGTAAGCACTACAAGCTCGTTTCAAGTCATGATTGAATTTATCTTAAAGATTCCACGAAATTTATGTTCCTAACATACTAGTCATCCTTTAAAGATGTGAAACTTTGCCAAAAAAAACGGAGAGAACTACTTGTTTTTTACCTTATTTTTATGTGCATTAGCAAATTTCATAAATGACGCTAACCAATTATTTCGATGATTGATCGGTAGTAATGAACCAATCATCAATTATGAGATTTGAACCAATTCCCAACACTAGGGTCCAATATCGAAAATCAACGAATCAAATCGAGGTCTGGGTGAATCGTTGCAGCCCTAATCATCGAAAATAATTGGTTAGCATCATTTATAAAATTTTCCTGGTTATGTTTGTTAAAGCACAAAAATTAAAAACAAAACATGTAGTTCTTTCTTGTTCTTGCACAAAATGCATTTGCAAATTTCACATCTTTAAAGGATGACTAGTATGTTAGGAACATAAATTTCCTGGAGTCTTTAAGATAAATTCAATCATGACTTGGAACTTGTTTATAATACTTGTGAAATGTAACAGACAAAACCAACCCTGTGAAAAATGTTGCTAATGCAAACAGGTGTTCCAAAATTGTTTGTGTTCGATTATGAGAAAATATGATCGACTGCTTGGTCGTTTAGTCATTACCACCACTTCATAGTCATTTGAGGCATCAACCAATCTTCTCTTTATTTCTCAATTAATCACACCACCACTTTGGCTAGCAGGAAACATCACTTTTGTGGCATCAACATAGTGCCAAATGAAACTCTTTCTGTCTCAAGGGCTCTTGACTAAGAGCATGTGAGGTATCTGAAGAACTTTTGTCAACTTGGGCTTCCACACTTAACTGGGCACTTGATACTAAGTAATTGGTGTAAACCAATATATTACTTGGCTTGCAAAATCATGTGACAGGAATCAACCAGAACAGAAGAGTGAACAAGACTGACTGACTGACTGAGTTTGGTTTTACGCCGCTTTTAGCAATATTCCAGCAACATCACGGCGGGGACACCAGAAATGGGCTTCACACATTGTACCCATGTAGGGAATCGAACCCGGGTCTTTGGAGTGACGAGCAGACGCTTTAACCATTAGGCTAGCCGCTACACCACTGACCCCCAGAACAGAAGAGCAATCTAGCTGAATGTAAGTATGTGAAGTGAAAAATGTTTCTGTCTCATTATTGCAGCAAAGTGCTGTAATTTAACATAATTATGGCTTCTTCAAAGATGCACTTTATCAGAAATAGATTCCATACACAATACATTTCAGATGTAAGAAAAATTCCTTTTGAAGAAACTGACCAAACATGTTTCTCATATTCTTTACCCATGAGCATGATAAGCCACCATGGACTTTTGAAAAACACAAACAAAACAATTCCAGGAAGCATGAAAACACTGAACCAAGCAATGAAGTTATTAAAATCATCTAACTGCCCCCTGATAACCATGATAGGAATCAAGACAGTCCTCACCTGCATGTTTCTGTACAAGCTCAGCAGGATAGCATATGCTCCTGATCTGAACGCAGGGATGTAATCTCTGGAGCTTTTACTTCCGGACGATTTCCGACGCTTCTGCAAAGTGACAATGACAATCAAAGACGACTACCTTCAGTGTTCACGAATGGTGTTTCAAAGTAACAGGACATTGGGTCCTGTAAGTTTCAGATGTCTGTCTGACCCTCTGAAAAATCACAGGACCCATAGAATAAAATTAAACACACATTTCAGATTTAACATTTCTTATAATTGGCATTGAAATTATTAACACACATAAGATTTATAAACAGCAAACAAGTGTCACATGTCACATATAACAACTTCTGTCAAAGTCATTGTGAAATATACAGTCAGACACTGGGGCCGGCGGGTTGTAGACTTCTATCGAACCGTTGGTGAATCTGCCGCATTTGTCAGAGGGTCAGACGCTATTTGTGAACACTGCTACCTTCCTAGACTTCAAACTACCTTTAAACACATATCTGGAAACCAATCAAATACAAGTTTTGGATACTGCTGGATTGATTTCTGTTTTGTTTGTTGTTTTGCGTCACACGTGACATTATCAAATAATCCAGAAACCTTTGAACTTTGGTACTGATATGACAGCTCAAAAGTATCGCGGTATATACACATTAAATACATGATACAAAAATATCAATTGCTATTAATCAACACTTTTTCAATTAATATCATCGAAGAGACATCTAAATAGCAAAGGGCACATATACAAATTGTATGTCATTTGTCAATCTATTTGTCAAGTTTGGTGAAGAAATATTGCATGGTTTTCAAGTTCTGCTCAATAAATGAGCACTGCAACCATTTCCAGCCCATGTAAAAACTGTCGCCATAGAAACTCAAATATCAAGTATAAACAAGAAAAAATTGTGTCCAGGGACACGGATGCCCCCGCTGACATTCATAAGACATATAGACATATAAAGATCAATAATTAAACAAAATTCACGAACAAGTTCAATAAACATCTATGCAACTATGAGATGCACACCTTTCGAGTCCCAATGAAACACATGTATAAGCTTAATCAGTTCTGTTGAGCAGTTTTTTGTGGAGAAGAGGATAGACTTCATCCCCTATAACACTATATTCAGAGAGAAATTCAACAAAATTTATGTAAGTTCAAACGGCATTAAAATTGGAAAAATATATAAAATACAAATCAAAATATGAGATGCACGCCTTTAGAGTCCCTATAAAGCACATGTGTAATCTAAATGAATTCCATAAAGCAGTTTTTGAGGAGAAGTGGATAACGTGCACCCCCCTGTTGGATGGAACGAACAGGCTGAATAGAACAAAGTTCAAACATCTGTAAAAGTGACAAAATTAAGAAATTGCATAAAAAATTATGAAATGCACACCTTTAGAGTCCCTACGAAAGACATGTTGAAGTTCATTCAATTCTGTTGAGCAGTTTTTGTGGAGCTGTGGATAGACTTCATCCCCTGTTACACTATCATCATAGAGAAATTCAGCAAAATGTACCTAAGTTCAAATGTCTCTAAACTTACCAAAAATAAAATACAAATACAAATACAAAATATGAGATGCACACCATTAGAATCCCAAGAAAGCCCATGTATAAGTTCACTGAATTCCACACGGAGGGTAACCCTATATCCCTGCCATATATGGCGGGGGCATAAAAACCCAAATTATTAAAAGGCAATAGTTCACCACTAGACCTATCCATGTACCACGTTTGGTGAAGAGATAAATTCAGGGTTCAAGACAAACAATTGACGGACAGAAACCCTTTTTATATCATTTACTATATAGGTAAACTAATTGATTATTATGCACGTTTTGATATAAATTACCAACATAAGCCAGCAAATTTATCAACTTTATGCTAAACATGAGAGAGCTGATCCACTAAATCTTGAAATCTGAATTTTCTGTCCTTTAATTGTCCATATTACCCAATCTTTGAAGATCTAAAGGTTTCTGAGACAGTGAATTCATAAATTTAGTGGTCTTTGAATGGCATTTAGAAGTGATACACATAAGGAAGAGAGTTTTTATGGATGTCAACTTCTTTATTTTGAGGAACACAACGTTTCGGAGTATATCCTTACTTTCATCAGGAGAATGAAGATGATGAAGGAGTAAGGACATATGGCAAACCGTTGTGTTCCTCAAAATATAGAAATTGACACTCCTAAAAACTCTTCCTTATTCATAAATTTGTGAGGTGAGGTGATACTGGGTTTAACGTTGTGCTTGAGAATATTTCGCACATATGACAATGTGCATGCATGTGTATGTGTAGCTGCTTGTACTAGCCCAGACTTAAGCTGGTTTTATAGTGCTAGTCCACTGAGATACCATGCCGCAGTGAAGCATGAATACCCCACACAGACACATAATACTGACTCCGAGCTGACCAGTCCTTGTTGTACCCATTAATGCCGAGCGCCAGGCAGGGACCAACAAGTACCACATTTTAACTTCTTTTGGTATGACGCGGTCGGGGGGCTCGAACCCGTGACCTTCCGCTCTCCGGGCGGACGCTCTAACCACTACACCACGGAGGCGGTCCATAAATTTGTACTGATACATCAATACAGCAAAATATGATGACATCATCATCATCATCATCTACTTACTCTACTTTTGAGGTCGCCCTGCATGTTCCTCGTCTGAGTCCAATGAAATACTCCCAGTGGTGTCTACAAAGTTGGAAGACGTTGCAAGTGTTGCTGATTCTGATGGAACAGTTTGCGAATACAAGAACTGTCATTGGTTGGAATGGCATGTATTGCTTGTGCTGTTTGGTTGGTTTGTTTCTTGGAGTGATGGGAAGGTACCATGTCTTCATCTTCATCACTTTGAGGTATAACATCAGCACTACCTGAGATCAAAATCATAGTTGGTAAACATGATTCATAACAATAACTGTAACACGTTTTAGTGAGTGAGTGAGTGAGTTTAGTTTTACGCCGCTTTTAGCAATATTCCAGCAATATCACGGCGGGGGACACCAGAAATGGGCTTCACACATTGTACCCATGTGGGGAATCGAACCCGGGTCTTCGGCGTGACGAGCGAATGCTTTGACCACTAGGCTACCCCACCGCCCGTAACACGTTTAAAGCAAAGAGACTTTCACATCTTCCGTATTTCTTGTTTTTTAGCAGGTCAGTGAAGGTAATAACATAATCAAAATATCTCATGGGGGTCAGCAACACATAAATTCAAATCTGAATATTATATTTCATAAAAAGTGAACTTTAAATATTGATTCCAGATCCAAAACAAACACATTTAGAAGACTGTCAAGGCCTTCAGAAATCCATAATGTATTTATATTTTATTGGGAATCCATATTTACAATTCTCTTTTGATGAAATACAAGGAGATATTTGTCAAAGTACCAGTAAGCGTTTATGGATGAGGTTGCCACACAGATTTTAGATATAAATTGGGCTAAATAAAGAAACAGAGTACATGATATGTGTATAATTATTTATAATTGTTAAAATATTAGAAACTTTTGAATAAATAACCCCAGAAACATTCAGCAGTTAAAGGAAAGAAGTACAAACAGTTTGTTCACCATAGATTTCAATATGCTTTGCCAGTTTGTCATCAAGCATCTTGCATATCTTGTCACCTGAAACATTACAAAGTTTACTTTTTTCAAAGAGATATAACCAAACTTTGTAAAAATGACTATTGGACAACACTCTTCCAAGTTCAATTCTTACCACATATTACCTATCAAATCTGATACAACAGAATTAATTGGCTGATTTTTAATAATGAAATTTACATTTTTCAATATGCTCGTAATTTTTACAGTCTAAGGTTCTGTGGACTATCTGATTGGATCATCCATGTTTTAGTTCCATTGATCAACAGGATCAGTTAAGTTTGTTGTTGTGCTCTCAGCAAAATTCTAACAAACCTGTAGAGGTTGCTGATTCTTTGATCAGAGTCCTCCTTGGGGAACATATAAGCATTAAAATGTCCTTTTTTAATCCCTACGACAGATGTAACTATATTTTGAATAAAATATTTACAAAAAAAACAAAAACGTTTTTGTCTTGTTCGACCACCCCTACGGACCCCAGAATGGACCCATCCGCCAAGAACAGGTAACTCTAGGCTCTAACCTCGTACCTCACTTTCCATGCTGTTGTTCGTCTGTATCGACGTATGTGTCCATCAGCTTACAAGTTGATTTCTCCTTTACGATTGTAAGATTGCTCTAACCTCGTACCTCACTTTCCATGCTGAACGAATCAGACAGAATGTGGGGAGGTGGGTGGCTGTACCCCAAGGAGGACTCTCATCAAAGAATCAGCAACCTCTACAGGTTTGTTCGATTCTTTTTCATGAGAGATCCTCCTTAGGATACATATAAGCATAAGACAGACTCCTACAGACAAGAGTCCTGGGAGTGGTATTCTGTCTGATAAACTATGCCCCCGACAAGTGGAATTTCCCAACTATATAAAGAAAAAGGAACAGCTCACTTACCTGGCCACGTGACCTCTTCAGCCAATCAGGCGAGGGCGTGGTCCAGGGTCAGGGGTTATATATTCTGCTCATATGCAAATGAGGCAGTGAACTACTCATGTAGTAAACAATAGTGCCCCACCCCCATCCCGAGTTTTATAAATACCTAAGGAGGGGAGAGACATTAAATCCCATGAAACCGCAGCAAAGCCTAAATTTCTAAGGAATAATGTGAAAAATTGATATACGGGGAGAACAAACCATCACCATAAAAAACCCAACACCAAGTAAGGGTAAAAAGGGAAGGAAAGTTGACCGCAAACCCTCCACAAGTAAAGAACAGATAAAGTCGTAAATCTAAAGCTCAATCGGCTAGAGAGTTACGACTCTGCCCACTGGAGAGAACTGACTGACCGAACCGAGCACGCTCACTGGAGTGTCTGTCAAGTTGATAATGCCCGATGAACGTACTCGGCCGGCTCCAGATAGCCGCGGAGCAGATCTCCTCAATAGGCAGAGCCGCAACATAAGCCTTAGATGTGGCTACTGCTCTAACCGAATGAGCTTTTAACCCAGAAGGTGGTCTTAACCCTTTCTGTCTATAGCTCGTACAAATGGCAGAGACAAGCCACCTAGATATGGTCTGCTTGTTCGCCGGAAGACCAGCCTTACCTCCACCGTAACAACAAAAAAATTGGTTATCTCTCCGGATAGCCAATGTCCGCTTGATATAAGCTTTGAGGGTCTTACGCACATCTCAGACATAAGCACGCCGAAGAGAGGTACCCGGTGGGGAAGGCTGAGTGAAAGCTAGAAGCTCAATAGGCGCCATGACATGAAAGGCGCTGTCTCTCTTAGGATGGTAAGTATCCGGCAACCTAATGCTAACTCTGTCTTTATCAAAAACAGTTAGCTGGGGGTCGGCCGACATTGCATGAAGGTCGCCTACTCGCCTGCCGGAGGTTACCGCTACAAGAAAAGCTGCTTTCCACGTCAACAGCTGGAGGGGAAGAGCCGACAGATCGTAAAAGAGAGGACCGGACAGCCAATCAAGACTGACTGACTGAGTTTAGTTTTACGCCGATTTTAGCAATATTCCAGCAATATCACGGCGGGGGACACCAGAAATGGGCTTAACACATTGTGCCCATGTGGGGAATCGAACCCGGGTCTTCGGCGTGACGAGCCAACGCTTTAACCATTAGGCTACCCCACCGCCCCGCCAATCAAGAACGATTGATAAGTCCCACGGGGGACTGTTCTGCCGGACAGCCGGGCGGATTCTGTCCACACCTGCTAAAAAACGCTGTACAAGAGGGTGCTGCCCCAAGAGTGCACCGTCGACAGGTATATGAAACGCTGAAATAGCCGTTGAGTAACCTCGAACAGTTGAAGCGGCTAGCCCCGCTTCCAACCGAGGCTGGAGGAACTCAAGCACCGTGACTAGATCTGCAGAAAAGAGATCAAGAATACCCCTGCCGACACACCAGCGCATATAGCAGGCCCATCTATCCTCATATTGAACGTTTGTCGAATCCCTACGCGAAGCCAGAATTGTGTTTGCAACTGATGCAGGAATTCCGCTCGCATGGAGGCAATTCAGGACAGTGGCCATGCCACCTACTGAATCCTGGGATTCGGGTGTGGCGCTCCGTTCTGGAATAGAAGGTCCGGTCAAAAAGGGTAATAGTACAGGAGGCTGAGCCAGAAACCTGATAATTACCAGAAACCAGCTTTGAGCTGACCAAAGAGGTGCAAGGAGCACTAACAGTCGAGCTGGTTGGGTGGCCAACTGTGATAGGACCTTGGATATCAGTGGTATCGGTGGGAACGCCCACTGTCCGTCCAGTCAAGTTGGAAGGCATCGTTGGCTATCGCAAAACACCGGTATCTGGTTCGTCGCCCCAGAGGCAAACAGATCCACCTGGAATGACCCGTACAACTGGGAGATAATCCCGAATATCCCCCGGTCTAGCATCCACTCGTGTGGAGCTCGTATACCACATGAGAGCGCGTCCGCCTGAACGTTGTCTACCCCCAGGAGATAGACTGGCATCACTCGTATGTTGTACTGGTCGCCGTGGGAGTCCCAAGAAACTGTAAAACAGCTCTCTGAACTTGGCAATGCGGTCCTGAGACAGGGAAACAATCCCCATCTTTGTATGAATCTCGCTTTCCCAAGAAAACCAGATCCTGTGTCGCAACGAGTTCTGATTTCTTGAGATTGATGATCCATCCCAGCCGTATGAGAATATCCATCACGTGATGTGTGGTATTCCTGCTCAACTACTTGCCTAATGCCTGGAGCAGCCAGTTGTCGAGGTACGGGTGACAAAACCTGCCCTCTGACCTGGCTAACTGAGCTGGGATTAACATGAGTTTGGTGAACACCCTTGGCGCCGTGGAGATGCTGAAGGGGAGCACACGAAACTGGTAGCACTTCCCGTCGAAGGAGAACCGAAGGTACTGCTTGAAGTCGGGATGCATTGGTACATGTAGGTAAGCGTCTTTGAGATCGATTGACGTGAGCCAATCCCCTGTCTCGACGGAGGAGATAACTGAAATTCAGTAAAACAACACACAAACCTAGACAAGAAAGCTACAGGCTAACCTGAAAAAGCAAGCATGTATGCGCCTCCCGTCCGCCATCTTGACAAACACATGGCAAGCTGACAGGGTCTAAGACGTAAGTTACAACAAACGATGAATGAAAACTTTCAAAAACATTTATCAATTATCGCCCATGTGAATAAGAGATAACCATACATACAGTAGCTGTTTCTGAAGAACTCATCTTGTCAATCGTAAAGGAGAAATCAACTTGTAAGCTGATGGACACATACGTCGATACAGATGAACGACAGCATGGAAAGTGATTTACGAGGTTAGCGCCTAGAGTTATCTGTTCTTGGCGGATGGGTCCATTCTGGGGTCCGTAGGGGTGGTCGAACAAGACAAACACGTTGTTTTTTTGGTTTGTAAATATTTTATTCAAAATATAGTTACAACTGTCGTAGGGATTAAAATAGGACATTTTAATGCTTATATGTACCTCAAGGAGGATCTCTCATGAAAAAAGAATCCAGCTATATGAAGGCTATCTGTAAATAATAGAATCTAGATATGACAATTCAGTGATTAATATCATGAACATTGATCTATGCAATTGGGATTCGATGACACACAAGTCAGGGAGTCTGACCACCTGGTTCTGTTCATTGCATCTTACTCCAGGCATGGATTCCTGAAGAACAATTCTATACCATATTTTTCACGGCAGAAGTGTTTTGAGGACAATGATGGGATCATCCCTATTTCAGGGATATAGTATAATCATATTGAACCCTTTTTCCACATTTTTTCCTGCCTAGTGATTGAAAGTCCATGATAATTCTCTGATAATGAAGTGAAAGAATGAAACCAACTCCGAGGGTTTGATCCAACTAATGAACCGACTGAAGAAATACTTTCGATATAATTTTAATATTTGGTATTTAATGTTGAAATCAACTGGGATGCAACTGGCGGCCGATACCTTGCCTTGCACTCGCAATGCACATGCTCTGCAGGCGCTCCTTGTGTCCTGCACGTTCTTGTGAAGAACACATGGTTCATACTGACAAACAATCTCATTCTTCACAACAATCCTTTGTTGCCTAGTGGATAAACCGCCAAGCTAGTAAGCGAAGGGTTGCAGGTTCGAAACCAGGCATAGGCACAATATATTGGGTGTTTTCAATAATGTGATATTTTAGGATCGTATTCAGTAATACTAATAGCAAGACAAAGTTACATCAATCTTCAAAACAAGTAAAATAATTCAAAGTCAAGGGCTATTCCTCAGAAAATCCCTGGGCTTCGGGCAATTCTGTAGAAAATCCCCGCGATTTCTTGGAGAATGCCTGTGAAACTGCCTGTAGAGGTTTACTCAGTAAAAGGAGAACCTGGCGAGACAACAGAGTGATGTCAGGGAGGTTTATAAACACTGAAAACCAACCAAAGTTTTGTAGTATTTTGCAGTCTTTCCCTGTGTCAAGCTTGAGCGGAAAACATTTCAGTGACTTGAGTGCCTGCAAATAACAAACATCATATTCTACTCATCTGACACATATGGGAATGTAGTGGTTATTTATTTCAAACATTTTTATCAATTTTCTTATTTTCATAATTGTTTGTCTCTAATACAGCTCTGAAGCTCACCTTAATCATAAAGAGTGAGCAAGTGAGTTGGGTTCAACACTATTCCAGTTATATCCCAGGTTGACAGCTTACCGTGGGATTTACGATCAGAGTGATATCCACAAAGAAATGCTGCAATGAGGATGCTATGGCAACCATATTTAGCATCAGACTAGAATTATGTGAACAATATAGCTTGCATCATACACATACATGCAACGTGTCAGATCGATAAGCCGTGTACTTGTAGTTTCAGAGATGTCAATTACCAACTGACTGAAAATGACAATGCATGGTGAACATGCCACCACAAACTCAGTCAGGTGAGCTAAAAAGGTACAAAGTGGCAGAAGGTTAACCCAAGAAAGCAAACATATGCTGATACTGAATTGATCTGAGACACAGATACCTTGCTGTATATATACTGCGACTTCCATCCTTTTTCTGCAGCCTCGTCTCGCCATTCTTTTAGCCAGCGTTCAAACAGTGGATTTGGGCATTTTGATAGCTTCTTCTTACGTTTTCCAATGATAGATGACATTTTGCTAAACAATAAAATGGCAAAACCATACAGCTAGAAATTATGTACTTTGGATATTTTCTACTTGCACGATGTCAAAGTTGAGTTTGGGGGGCATTTTTTGCTACGTATGGATTGGGGAGTAATAAGATAAGTTGAGAGATATTATCACCCTCATAACAAAAATTCTCAATTCACTTGAAGAAATATGCAACGTGCAGAATCTTTATGTAACATGTTATGTATTACTCCAAGAAGGTTTGCTGTTTTATAAGATCTTTGCAGAAGCCAGAAATTTCATACAATCAATATTTATTTCAATGATGCAGCTTTATCGCTGAAATAGTGAACACTGTCTGGGGCCCACTGTCGAACACTAACGCATATAGATGTGCAATGCTGTGTATGAATCAACGTCATGTCATAATAATTACCGTTATGAAATTATCACGAAATTACCAGCCTTGGAAATCAAATTTTCCGCCAACAATCGGAAGTAGAACTTTTTGCTGCGAACAACAAGAAAACAAATACAACTTCATTAAAGATGAAACGTGGGAATGTATCTAGTTATGTATCATGTGCATCAAATACAAAATTATTTATTTATTTGTTAGAATAATCTAATTTCAATTGAATTTCGACGAATCAAATTCCAGGAATTTCTTTTTGCGCGAACTTATGACATGCCGGATGTTTTCCTCGACAACCACTTGCGAGCGCTGACAGTTTATTTTCTTTGCATGTTACAGTGATTATCGTTTCATCATCAAGTGCTGGTTGTTTTTTTTTAGTTCTGTGTCTATGTGTACACGATAACCAGGGTAGTCGTCATGTCAAACACTACTGTCGGCGTGAGAGGGTCATCTAGCGAAGCATCAGGGTAGGACATTCAGATGTTCTCGCCTAATGTAGGAGACACTCATTCAGATTGTCAAACCCGGTTGTAAACACAACCTGGTTCAGGATAGATTATACCTTAGTACTGAAGTTGTACAATAACACATGTGTATTCAATAACGTAAATGCCCTCAAACGACAACGTATGCGAAAGTTCTCTTGTACTAGCATGTCAAGGCCATTTTTAAAAATGACTAGATTAATATTTCTTTCTGTATTTTGTCATTCATATATGCCTCAGAAAATGCCACTTTTCCATCCTGATCCAATATTTGAGAAAACATGTCCAAGGTCTATATATTTTGAATTAAGGTGAAAAATGATAAAACATAAAATCACAAATATGGTACATGTTCGTTCTCTTTATTGCAGCTTTCAAATTGACCCCAAAATGTGGGCAATAATTTTAAAAGTGTCAAAATGTTTGGTAATAATACAACATAATCTTAACATATTTGTTACTGTAATCATTTTCATTGCAATATTCATAACATAAAACAATATTCTTCACCTAAGTTTTATGGAGAATGAATTGAGGTGTGGAAACCATCTTTCAACTACCATTTTTATGCAATTTTTTTTTTATGAAACAAAAGATATTTCAAAGACAAGCAAAATATCAAAATAGATTTATTCTCCATAATGTAGATATCACTTACGACTGGAAAGGTTAATGCTACATTTATTGAACAATCTGTTTTTATAGTAAATGGTTATTATGAACAAACAAAAATAATAAACATTTAATGGGACGGAATGACTCAAGCTGTGAATGATTAACGCTTAAGACTGTGGTAGATATCTACACTTAAAAAATTTCACAAGAACATAATTATTGTCATATATAACATATATAGAGCATAGATAAGGCATCATGAGAAATTTTGTAAAATATTTTCAAAATTGATGTTAGATGATATCTACATATGTCCTTCAATCATCTCAATAGTGTTCAAGCAACTACGCTAAATCATATAACACAATCCATATTAAAGCATTTGGTGTAACTTCTGTAAATCTTCTGATTTCAGAGGTACATCACTGAGTCAATGGCCCTGAAAAGAAGGAAAAAGAAACCATGAATAATTATTCTAAGAATTTGTTTACAACTATTTCTTGGCTAACATATTCTTTAAAACGTGATGTACAGTATGATACTATAAATATTATCATCTAACAGTAACTTGCTATTAGACCGCCGATGTTAGTTGCGAGGAGCTGGCAGAGTTACTTGCCCTTTACTTCAAGACCCCAGTGCTGTTTACAAAAACATTTCACAACTCTTCCATTCCTCTAAAAAGTTTTAATTGATCTTAAAATATTGCTCAGTCAATGATCTTCAATCAGCGAATGTTCAAAATGCTGCCAAATACCTATAAACATATTTCCGAGAACGTATAAAATTTCAAATTTGTGAGAAAAACAAAATACCGACCTGAAATCAATGTGACTGCTGATGGCGTCTGCTCCAAAGTATCAGCAACAGGGACCAGTCTTTTGTTTCACTCTAATAAGTGCAGGAAATGAACAGGAGCCCGTAAAACAAGGGCCCCTCCCTTGCGAAATATCAGACCAACTTTTAGATTGTTCAGGCAAGAGTTACTTCCCTTGGAAGTCAGTCGGCCTGGACATGCTATCTTAAAATGATAAATATCACATCTCGGCTTCGTATTACTCGGAACTTATTGGAGATGTACGGAGTCGTACAAGGTATGATTATGATTGTGACAGTTAAGTAAGATGCGTGATATTCAAATAAGTAATTATGTTTTGGGACATGAAATTCAGCTGATAAATCTTATTGCCAGGACACTGAATTACATCTTCTTAACATGATGCTAAACATCACTGTCGCAGACAAAATGTAGCCATGGCATAGGTATCATACGGGTACATTGATGAAATAAGTGAATCAGCATTTTGACATTTCACATCAATAGTTATTTTTGTTGGTTGTAATCAGAGTTTGGTGTCAGTTCTGTGATACTGGTGATGTTGCTGTTTTTCTGCAGATGGGATTGATTCAATTATTGCATGCATGAAATTTTAGAAAAAGGAACTATTTCGAACAGGCTTGGAAATCCAAATCTAATGATATGTGGATAATAATCTTTGTCATGTTAACATGGTAAATAATTAGATAAAGTCTGAGAAGATATTTGTCCTGTTCTTCTGTTTCATTACAAAGTTTAAAAGAATCTTTTAATAATATGGTGTAATTGTCCTAGAATGTCAAGCAATCGTTAAACAGTTTGAAGCAGCTAAGATCATGCTAGGGCATGGGTGGTCAAGTCTTCTAAGGTCCTGTGAATCTCTGTGCAAAGCTGCTTCCCTTGGGCAAGCCTGAAAGCTATGATCATGGATTTGGATCCAGATTATGTTTCTAGGTTTATCAGAACCATACACAAGTTTATGGGTTGCAGCAGAGTAGTAAACTTCTGTGAGCAGCATCACTTCAGGCCTTCCTTCCACTTGAAGCTGACATGTCATGATATAACTGGAATACTGCTCAAAGTGGCTTTTAATCCAACTCACTACCTCACTGTTGTTTCTTGCTTCACCTCTCTGTTTGTCAGTTAACAGCATGGCATGCATGTTGTTGTTACATGTAATATGGCCGTCCAACATATGCATGATTATACTGTTGATGAAGAATAATGGCAATTATTATGGATATACAACTTCTTTTATTCTGTGGATGCGACGTTTCAACATAGGTATTAATGTCGTTGTCACTTGCTTGACAACGACATTAAACCTATGTTGAAACGTCGCCCCTTAACTTCTAAAATGCCCATCAAAGAAGTTTTACTGTTGATGGAATGTTGCAGCTGTGTGTGTTATTCAAACATGGACGAAGTCACTCTCTATTTACCATTGTTTCCTAAACTGAGTAAGGCAATCCTTAATCATGTTTACATACATAAACCACTCACGTTTTTGTTGAACATTTAGTATACATAAATCATGTCCATGACAACATAAATTGAAGAAATACTTGAAAATCATTTGGCAATGTTAATGGTATAAGGGATATGTTTAGTTTGCTATGATCACTGAACTTGAAGATGAATGATTTATAAATCAGATTTTTACCTGTAGTATATAATTTAACTGATACACAGATCGACAAATATTTCAACTGATTATGTATTAAATCTTGTGGACATGTCCTAAACTTGGTTTCATTCTAAATCATGGCATGTAAAGAAATTTATTGCACATGGGTATTAATCTGTTCTGTCTGCTGTCTTCTTTGGAAATCATTCATTTTCCTTTTTTTATCTCCTGTCTTTGATTGATTTTTTTTTACATCATTTACAATTGACAGCTCTAAGCTGGCGGTAGTGTAGTCAGCGTTCGAGGGCGGTAGTAATGGCAGGTGCCCCTACTCACGAAGCTGGCATGCTGTGGAGACTGATGAACCGTAGTGGAACAGAAAGCAATGGGTAGAACAGATGATAAATAAGCATTATTACTAGAAGTCTTCAAACACATATGCTTACTTAAAGATGTAATATATTTCCATATTAAGAGATTCTTTGAAGTCAAGTATATGTAGCTTGTGAAATGACAGTTTTGTTGAAGGTTTTGACATTTTGTCATAATTGAATCCAACCGAGCTGAATGCTAGGAATGGTGTTTAAAAATACATGGCAACCTTCATCATAAACCATACCATCACTTTGCCCTGCTATCCTTGATTAATTAGTATTTTGAATTATGTTATGTTAAATACCTGGGACCCATTTGTCACCCTGACTTACAGCACTGAAACTGCAGGTGGTTGAGTGGGTTAGATGTGCTGTCAATGTAGGTGCCTGAATCCCGAATGGGACTCAACCTAACAAAAGTACTAGAATCGGTACTTCACTGAGGAAATGTAATCCCAACAAAATATAACATGTCAATATTGTTATAGATACAGCAGTTTGAACTTAATAATACTGAGAGGGAAATGGTGATATTTATTTTTAATCAGTAGCCAATTAGTCTGAAAAGAACTGAGACAAAAACACTTGATAATCATGGATGATGCTTTAAGATGTCTTGGTAAAGTTTTAGTAAAATCAGAAACAAAGTTCATTTCGTTTCTCTCTTTCTTACCCCACCAGGGGCGGTGGGGTAGCCTAATGGTTAAAGCGTTGGCTCGTCATGCCGAAGACCCGGGTTCGAATCCCCACATGGGCACAATGTGTGAAGCCCATTTCTGGTGTCCCCCGCCGTGATGTTGCTGGAATATTGCTAAAAGCGTCATAAAACCAAACTCACTCGCTCAGTCACTCACTCTTTCCCCACCACAAAATTGAAGAAATAATAAAAATTGTACCGCATGGTGAGCTGCAATAAAGTTTTGGAAATGATCCAAATTAGTAGTGAATTGTACTGGTTGCAGAATACAAATAATTAGCTACTTGAAAGGAACACGATCATGAATGCTTGGAGGATATGCCTTTCAAATCAAATTCTTGTCAGTTGAAATCACTGTAAACTGAGTACCTTAGTGGGCATTCAACTTCTACTCCATCAACTAAATAATATATAAATATGACATCAAAGTCCAGTCTTTTGTTATTAATTTGATTGGAATGAAATAAGCACTCTTTGGAAAAAGTGTTGGAGTCATTAAAATTTCCAAAACACATTTTGGTCGAGAGATCGAGAATTGGTCATGTTTGGCTTGATTAAACAAGCCTTTTTAAAACAGATATAGAGTTTAGCAAAGCATGTCTGATGTATGAAATAACCAAAATGTTGGTTTTGACAGAGATAACACAAAATGGCTGGATGCTTACCACGACCCCATGTCAACACTGTACACATTTACACAGTGTATGACTCTCTCGGACATCCAAGCTGATGGAGACTGGAAGCTGATTGTTGCCGATCTGGGGACTGGCAGCTATGACATGAAGCTAAAGGTGTACAAGAGTAAGTTAAAAACAAGTCATGTTTCTATTTCACATACAAATTCTTACCTTTGAACATGTTGGCATGTTGGATGCAGTTTTGATTTTTTCCAATATTCTATCAGACTGTTCTTGACTTTCAAATTTAACTAAAGAGTGTTACATCACCAATTGCAGGGGCGATGGGGTAGTCTAGTTGTTAAAGCGTTGGCTCGTCAGGCCGAAGACTCGGGTTCGAATCCCCACATGGGCAAAATGAGTGAAGCCCATTTCTGGGTGTCCCCATAATATTGCTAAAAGCGAAAACCCAACTCAAGTCAGTCAGTCAGTCAGTCAGTCAGTACATCACCAATTGCAGCGATATGTGTGTCTACATAAAACTCATGATGTTGGTCTAATGATACACTTATTTATGATGGGCCCTGAAACATGAATGGCATATCTAATCTGTTTTCATGAAAATATTAATGGTAAATAACTTGTGTACCAGTCTTTATTAGACCTTTTCGAAACACCATTAGGATTGGAATAATTTGTCAGTGTTGATTTGAGGTTAAAGGATGCTTAAGAGATGGCCTACTTTGAATATAAAATCATTCAAAATTTAAAGGTACGTAAATGCAGTTTCACTAAGTTCAGATCTTGTTTCAATACCATACTGTTCTGCATCGAGACCTGAGGACATCTCCATAGGAGTGAGTGATTGAGTTTAGCTTTACGCCGCACTCAGCAATATTCCAGCTATATGGCGGCGGTCTGTAAATAATCGAGTCTGGACCAGACAATCCAGTGATCGCCTCTTACGACAAGCATGGGTTACTATAGATCAATATTCTAACCCGGACCTTCACGAGTACCTCTCCATATGAGGGTGTGTCAGATGAAGGTCCTGTTTGATTTTAATGAGGAAGATGTATCTGTCTGAATGAAGTACAGTCATATTCATTCCAGTTTGTCAGGTTATTGAAGTTGTATGCTTTTTTAATATTCAGACACCAACATTTTGAGTGAACACACAATCATTGACCTGCCGACTGGGGTGGTCACATTCTACATGGACACACTGGAACCGAGGACACCGGGTAAGAAGGGAAATAATATCAGGATTTTCTATCCCATGGGATGATCACTAAAAACAAAATAGCTACTGGTCAAAGTTTTGGCCAAAGACCTAGATACAATGTATATAAATATACCCAAATTGCTTGACACTTCAGCTCATAAATACAGGAAGCGGCGAGGTAGCCTATTGGTTAAAGCTCCGCTTGTCACACTGAAGACCCGAGTTCGATTCCCCACATGGGTACAATGTGAAGCCCATATTTGGTGTCCCCACCATGATCTTACTGGAATATTGCTAAAAGCGGCATAGAACCATACTCACTCACTCATAAATACAAAGAGGTTACATAATCATGTGATTTCCATGTTATCACTGATGGAGGAGGAGAGTCCTGTGGTGTCCAGACATTTACAAGTCTCTAGCCAAGTCTTGTGTCCATTTTTATCAACAAGATCTTGGAAGATTTGTCTGCAAAATGAAAGAAGCAATATGACGACTTTGCATTTATGATGTTACAAAGGACCATTACCTCCTGTGGAGGTTCAGATCTTAACATAGAGCAGTATTGAGATCTGTTTTCAATTTATCAAAACATGAAACTCTAATCATAAGCTTACTAAATCATCATCATCTATAGAGGCAGTAGAAATATTGACATAAAAACTTTGTCTGTGTGGAAAACCATATATGCAAAAGAAATAATAAAATAGCTGTTTCAATCATAAATGGGGTCCCTACATCTTGACAATCTACCAATTTACCTGAGGTCATATTTCTCTTTTATTGACTTATATATCAAGTTCACCCTCCTGTCATCATCCATCTGTCTGACATCTTATGACATTGTAATCCTGGAACAGGAGCTGTGGAATCAGGCCAAGGATGTATGTACAGCCAGCACTGTTACTTACTAATTGACCCGCATTCTCAAGTTCAGGTCAGGGACATCTTCAGTAACCCATGCTTGTCGTATGTACAGAGGCAACTAACTAATTGATCGAGTGGGCAGGCTCGCTGACTTGGTTGACACATGTCATCGTATCCCAATTGTGTAGATTGATGCCCATGCTGTTGATCACTGGATTGTCTGGTCCAGACTCGATTATTTATAGAAAGCCGCCATATATCTGGAATATTGCTGAATGCAGTGTTAAACAACAAACCAACCAACCAACCATCCAACTTACTAAATATGGTAGTGCTAAGGTCAGGTGATTCATCCCCTGCTGATGATGATTAGTGTTACATTTGATCAGTATTATTTTGTTACTCTCTTTTCATATTGTTCTGTATGCAGTCCCCACTGAACAGATCTACACTTATTGAACATTCTGAACACTGCTAACAAGTATGGTTGTTTCATCTATGTAATCGGGGCGGTAGGGTAGCCTATTGGTTAAAGCGTCCGCTCGTCACGCTGAAGACCCGGGTTCGAATCCCTACATGGGTACAATGTGTGAAGCCCATTTCTGGTGTCCCCTGCCGTGATATTGCTGGAATATTGCTAAAAGCGGCGTAAAGTCAAACTCACTCACTCACTCATCTACTTAATCAGGGTTATGGTTCATAAGTGCTTTAGTTTGAGGAACAGATCATCACCACTTTGTTGCAGATTTGTATCCACTAAGAGTGGAAAGTAGTGCATACAGAGCTAGACTGTACTAGGAAACCCTGAGGATCCAGATGTTTCCAGTGAATTACCCAGAGGAACAAATTTCCAGACAAATTGTGTGTACTATTAGTTGTAATTACAATGTTCATCATCTGGGTCCAGGGCCCATTTCACAAAGCTCTCATAATTCTAAGATCTCGTAACTTTTCTCGTAGCTTTTGTACTTCCTGTACTGTAACATTGACTTACGATAGTCATAGTGCTACGAGAGCTTTGTGAAATGGGGCCCTGATCTACAAGGCATCTGTAATGTCAGGACCTGTCATAACTCTATAGTTAATCAGGGGCATAGGATATCGTAGTGCTGCAATCAGTCTGTGGATAGGGCCTCTGGAAGACAATGGTTCTGGGCTTGCTGAACTAACAGGTGTGAACAATGTTTTGCTGCACAGAAAAATGGATAGTACTTGAGGACATAAATTGTTGAGGTTTCAACTCTACTAATTAGGGCCCCTTATCACCATGGTCCAGGAAGCAAAGCTGAGTTTAATCCTTTTTAGGTTAAAATTTACTGAAAGTATTGTCGACAGTTGGGTGCTGGTGGACACAAAGGACTTGGGCAGATGTTGCTTGTGTCTTCCATCATAGGGATTTTGGGATAAAATGGTTAGATTATCACAAACAACCCCTCAAATTGTACCCCTCAGACTTGGATTGTTGCTCATGATATCAATCACTGATGTGTCCTGGTCCAGCCACAGTTATATTGCTGGAGGGACGGTGGGGTAGCCTAGTGGTTAAAGCGTTGGCTTGTCACGCCGAAGATCCAGGTTCGAATCCCCACATGGGTACAATGTGTGAAGCCCATTTCTGGTGTCCCCCGCCGTGATATTGCTGGAATATTGCTAAAAGCGGCGTAAAACCAAACTCAGTCAGTCATATTGCTGGAATGTTGATAGTGCAGGGTTAAACAACAGAACTACTTACAGACAACAGTTTGGTAATTTAGTGTTGGATGTCTCATTGTATTGCTTGTTGGAGAAGGAAACAAAATAATTGTATGAAATTGTATATAAGTATTTACTTCCAGGACCGTGTGAATGTTTTCATCCTAAGAGAAGCACTGGAAGGATTGAGGTAGGCAGTGGTTGTTGATTATTTTCAGCCATACCAAATAAACTGATTAAGGTTTTCACACTGCACTTTCTCACCCTCCACACCACACGATCAAGCATCGCATCATTGTTATGCCCCCTTGTACAGATGAAGACAGTTCAGATGTGTGTTCACTGCATTATTGCATATAATCAGTTATTACCCATACGGGTGAGGAGATCCTGTGTAATATCTTTTTGATATTTACGCAGTGTGCAATTTAGTGATTCTCGATGTTGATTGGTTGATCGTATATTTGTACATTTTCATTGGATGCCGGAACTACTTTCACACACTACGTTCATTCATAAAGTTTCATCGATTCATTGATAAATTGACATTATGTAATGTAATCACACATTCCGAGATCTAAAAAGGAAAACATTAAGGTTAAAGAATATGAATATTCTTTTTATTAGACGTTATTATTTTGGAATAAAACTGCGTTATAAATAGTAGTCTTTTTAAATTATATAATCTTTAAAAAACCCACCAAAACAATCGTTTGCATTGTTTGTAAACAAACATGGCCACCATTAGGCTAACCCCGATCAAGGTCACTTACCTAGTTAAAGTTGACGATGACCAAATAGGAAGAGTGATAAGAATTTTACAGCCCTTGAATTCCGAAAACCTGTTTGTTGTTGAAACTGAATTCGGGGAAATAGAAACAGCAAGATACCGACTAAAGATGTTATCTGAAAGTGTAACAAGTAAGTCGGACACGGCGTCCATGCCATCGAACCAGAAAACAGCTCCTTTCTTACCGGAATCAGTGCTAAATGTTCTTTAAGATGACTTTTTATATCCATGCATTCCTAATCAATCTGGGAGGTTGGTCCCAGTAGCCTATGCAGAGATTGACACATTTCATAGACTAGCCGATGCAGAGATTGACACATTTCATAGACTCGGATTCCGACTAGAGTTATCCTTCTTGGAACTGCTGTACTCTACTAAGACGAGAGTGTAACGCGCCTTCCACAGAACAAAATGTTGTTTAATCTTCAAACTTGTTGAGTTTCTTGACAGAAAACTTTTTCTAGATGTATTCGTGGGATGGTTGTCTTTTAGATTTCCCAACTTTTAACCGTTGACTTTCCCCAAAATTGACAGGTTTTTGCCAGAGTGTGTTTCAACACTACAGTCTACACCGTCACCCGTCACTAGAAAACACGTCAGTCGTGAATGAACGATGTTCCGTCGCACTGACTTGATCGAATAAATGTTTAGCTCTTATTAAGTTCAATGATATATTTAAAAGATCATTTCTATCATATTTACAAATGTTAATTAATTATTCCAGGCATAATAATTTTGTTGTATTTTAAAGCGATTTTATGATGTACTATTTCCATAGCGTGGTTATGTTATTACCGCTGGAGAAGTTAGGTTTAATACGCGCATGAATACGAATCAGCTGTGTAAGGTCACAAGTCCTGTCTCCGGGTGTTTTTTGTTTCGTGATTCTTCCTTTTAAATTACATTATGGGTAATAAATAGAATAACCAACGAGTGCAGTGATTATGGAATATGCCCTCGTTAAAATAATGTTCAGTGCCTCGCCAAGGCTCGGCACTGTGAACATTATTTCAACTCGGGCATCTTTCCGGTAATCACTCGTACCTCGTTGGTTATTCTCTAATTAATGCCTTGAACAATTTGTTCTCAATAATATAATATAAACAATAAAATGCCTTCAACATTACATGTGTTAAAAAATTTGATACCAGTCTTCTAACTTCAATTAAATCCGTATTTCATGGTTTTTTTTGTTTTTTTTTCTATTTCTATACTGTTTTCAGCACATTGATGTGTATTCTTTTCAGAGTTGAAGGCAACACTTTGACAGTGCGGTCTCTACGGTTCCTTCAGTTAGAGGCCAATGACCTGGAGGCCTTTGCCAACCTGCACAAACACTTTCCTCTGAAACGACAGGTGAGGAATTCTTATAACTACCGCAGAGGCTGTTATCTTCCAACCTCAAGTTTGGGGATGGCACTGCATGTGAGAGCCTAAAGTGACAATCACAATTCGGCAAGATCTTGTTAAACGCAACAAAATACATAACCTTCTCAGGTGAACAATAATACACCTTGCATGGGTGGCAGCTATTCAAAGAATAGACACATACAATTTAAGTTTCATGTATCTTAAGAGTGAGTGAGTGAGTGACTTTAGTTTTACGTCGCTTTTAGCAATATTCCAGCAATATCATGGCGGGGGACACCAGAAATGGGCTTACACATTGTACCCATGTGGGGAATCGAACCGGGGACTTCGGCGTGACGAGCAACGCTTTAACCACTAGGCTACCCCACTGCCCTTATGTATCCAAAGAACACACACACATTTATTTGAAGTGTTGTGTATTTAAAGAAAAGACACATTGAATTTGTGGTTATGTCAACATGAAATGTCTTTCATTCCCAAAATAAACATAATAATAATGTGTCCATTTATATAGCTCCAAACGCCACACTAGGTATGCTCATAGCGCTAACAATCAATAGCACAGCCAGGGGTTCAAAAATCCCATCGCCCGACCCCCGTGACATGTCAGTTTTCATTTCGGACAATCAAATACTGGTATCTTACTTGTCCGTGGGCTACTAGATAATCTCTGCTTACGGTTTCATACTGCAAATAAACTTGGATTTCATTTCATATCTGCTCAAAATGTACCTATTAAATTTTGCAATGATAATTAAGTAGAGTTATCCTTCTTTGCCATTTATCACTTCTCTATAAATAGTCCAGTGAACATTAACATCAAATACCATGTTGATTTATTCTTTCATAATTACATCATCATGATTATGCCATAAAAATCAGGGCAAGTGGAAAACTAGCCAGGACAAGTTACTTTCTTAAAGTCACTTGCCCTGTGGCAAGTGGCTTTTAAAAAGATTTTTGAACCCCTGACAGCACATTATTACCCTGGATAACCCAAGCTGCCTGTTAGGCGCTAGAAGGTTATAGTCACATGACTTTATCCAACTGGGTATCCATTTTCCTGCTGGGTGAACAGAGGCAATTTTGAACAAACTCACTTGCCTAAGGTGAGACCACATGTATGACATGTGCTTCATTGTGGGGCAGGACTGAAGTCCTAGAAACTCTTTAGGAGTCTCTGAGCTCGACGTTGCTCAACTTCAACTGATTTGTGACCTGAGCTCTGTGCACAGGAGGACCGCCTCCGTGGTGTAGTGGTTGGAGCGTCTGACCGGAGAGCGGAAGGTCGCGTGTTCGATCCCCGACCGCGTCATACCAAAAGACGTAAAAATATGGTACTTGTTGGTCCCTGCCTGGCGTTCGGCATTAAAGGGTACAACAAGGACTGGTCGATTCGGAGTCAGTATAATGTGTCTGAGTGGGGTATTCATGCTTCACTGCGGCATGGTATCTCAGTGGGCTAGCACTATAAAACCAGCTTAAGTCTGGGCTAGTGCAAGCAGCCGCAACATACACACATACACCGCATGCGCATGTTGTCATATGTGCGAAATATTCTCAAGCATGACGTTAAAACCAATTTCACCTCACCTCACCTGTGCACAGGACCACACACCACCACCTTCCATTTGAAGTGTTGTATATCCGAAGAACCTCTACCAAGAATGTCCAAAATCTGTCTAGTCATTAAGAGATCTTCCTTGTCATCTTATGATAACAAAATTAGCTATATTTCTTGAATGGCATTGACAGTCTTCTACATTCAGCTGGTTTATTTTGGCGTATGATCCCAGGGTTTCTGAGTGGGGCATGTTGTCCCAGTCATCTAAGGTGCCACAATTTGCTGGGCGGAGTTGCATCCCCTGGAGACACCAGAAACCTACGATCATAGCTTTGAATCTTGGTTTGTCTGATAAGGTTTCTAGCTCTGTCAGCACCATATGTTGCTTGTGGGATTCAAGAGACTGGTAAACATTCGAGACTTCTGACGTTCCCCTCACATCCACGGGGTGACACGCCATAATATACCTGGGATAATGTTCAAGGTGTTAACCTAACTCTCTGTAAACAATGTGCAGCATCAGATGGGTGTGAATACACAAGGTAACAGGCATGGCTTATTGTTCATTGTATGATTATAACAGTATGCATTCCTCATTCCTAAGTGATGCAACTGTTCCACTTTGCACTGACTGTCAATGTCAAGTATGAGAAACATATGGTGTTTTCAGCCCTGGTGTTCATTATTACAAAGAGTAATCTTGTTTTGTGTTTATAGACAGTGATCACATGCCTTGCCACCTTGAAGAAATCCATGGCTGATGACGATGCCATCAGCTGTCTGGTACTGGGGACAGAGAACAAGTCTATATATGTCCTAGACCCAGAGGCATTTACAGTGCTCACTACAGTAAGTACAAACTCACATTCTGATGTTATGCAAAGTTATTTTCTAGTGGTCTGCATTCCATATGACATTTGGTTATCTCCCTTCTTTGAAGGTTTCATTCCTTGATTTAATATTTTAGTTTCATGTGAGTCAGTTTACTTGATAAAGGAACTGGCATCTCCACTGTGTTGAAAGAAAGTCACATTGATGAACAAACATTAAAATGTGTGATTATTTTGTAATGAATGGTTGCCATGTTTACCTGTTTCAGATGGAGCTGCCCAGTGTCCCTGTGTTCCTCAGTGTGAATGGCCTGTACGATGTGGAGTACAGGATAGTGGTAGCCTGTAGGAATGGATGTATCTATACTCTGAAGAGGTTGGTCACAACTCAATGACACATCTGTTACTAAATATAATCAGATCCAGGATGAGCCACTGACAAATACGACAAATCAAATTGTCAAGTAACCATGAGCTCGAGAAGTGTAGCTGTTCACCCTTTCCTTATCATTATGGTGGATAACACACTCGTCATGTTCCTGAAGCCACAGGTTTTCCACTGATTGGTGTGTTCATAAGTTGATCATTCCTCAGTATTTGTCCAATTTACAATTACCAATGGCCTATTTGATAATAACAAATATTGTCACAAACATATAGTTTGATAAAATTATGGATTCTAAGTGTGACATTCTGGCACAAGGAACTTATGAGCAGGATTTCTGTTTTTGGTTCTCTCTTGCAAGAGAGGAGGTGGGGTAGCCTTGTGGTTAAAGCGTTCGCTCGTCACACCGAAGACCTGAGTTTGATTCCCCACATGGGTACAATGTGTGAGGCCCATTTCTGGTGTCCCCCACCGTGATATTGCTGGAATATTGCTAAAAGCGGCGTAAAACCATACTCACGCACTCTCTTGCAAGAATTATGTGGTTGTTTATTTAAACCCAAGATTCATCCTGGTGAACTTTTGGCGTCACCATGTGAGTTTCCGCAGTATGATAGATGTCTAAACCTGACATCATGTCAGACTCTTCACATCAAGCTGACACGCTGTGAAATAACTGAAATACTGTTGAAAGTAACATTAACCTCACTTGCTCGAGTTCTCTAGGTTCCATGTGAGGCAGATTTATTTTGATGATGACGTGATTGTCCAGGGGATCAACTGAGGGAGCCAAATACACCATAGAACTCAATTCCCAGCCCGTTGGCATGGAGAGAATCAACAAGAACATCTACGTGGGCTGTATGGATGAAACAATGCACTGCTTCACTTCCAAGGTAAGGGCAATTGTTGTATGTCTTTATCACACTGATAGCAGTATTCAAGCTATCTGACTGTGGCAAGTAAACTATCTTGTTATCTAATGATCCAGTGATTGACGTTATGAGCACTGATCAATGCCATTGGGAAAGCATCACGTTCATGAACTAAGTCAGTGAGCCTGACCTGCCAGTCCTTCGTATAACAAGCACAGGTTGCTGAAGACCAATTCTAACCACATCCTTGTTACAGTTTAGGTAACCATTATTTACTCGGCAACATTGCACTGATAGCATTGTTCCAGCTGTGTGACTGCAACCTGAAAATAATCTGTACCAGACAATCCCGTGACTGACATTTGCGATTGGGATATAGTGACATAAATTAAACATGTGTACCTACTAGGGACGGGTATTGCAGAGAATTTTCATATTGTGATATATTGCGATGTGAAAGCATATATTGCGATATGTATTGCAATATATTGCAAGAAGTTGTTTTTTAACAAAAAACTACTTATAATCGAGTTAATGCTTGATTTATAAATCCAAAACACAACAAAATCACTATGCTTGATTAAGCTTTAATAAAAACTTTTAATCATGACAAAATATATATGTAAATGATATTTGGCATAAATAAAAAAAGGAAAGGAAGAATTTAAGAAACGGAAATATTACGAAGTTTTCCGAATGCATGTCAAAATACCAGTTTTCGATCAGCTTATCGCAATACGTATCGTGTTCATGTCTGAACCGGTAAATACCGGTAAACCGGTTATATTACGCAGCCCTAGTACCTACCTGACCAGCTGATCCAGTTAGTTGCCTCTTAGTCAAGTACGGGTTCCTGAGGAACAATGTTATCCATGTCTTTACAGATTGGAATGGGTAGTGATTCATGTATCATGATACTTGATTCACAATATGATAAACCAGTGATGGTCCGGGTTAGAATATTGATCTTCAGTAACCCATGCTTGTCGTAAGAGGCGACTAACAGGATTGGGTGATCAGGCTCGCTGACTTGGTTGACTCACGTCATCGATTCCCAATTGCGCAGATCGATGCTCATGCTGTTGATCACTGGATTGTTTGGTCCAGACTTGATTATTTACAGACCGCCACCATATAGCTGGAATATTGCTGACTGCGGCGTAACACTAAACTCACTCACTCACAATATGATATGTATGACAGAACTTTGCCCTTTCTCCTGGTACCATGTGTCTACTGGTTTGTCTTTCATGTTACACAGTTGGTAATGACTTCATGCTGGAATTTTATGAGAGTAGTATGCTAATAGTTATTAGACTGGGTAATTGCAAATCTTTCCAAAACATACTTAATAATAAATGCAACCTTAAAACTAGACTTGATGTATGAGTTAGCACATCACGTTTCATATAGTGTAAATTCTTCACGCATTGATAGGTTGGTGAATTTTGATGCCTCTTGGTATCAGGAGTGAAGCATTATAGTGTATTGTTAGAACACTGAATATGTAGTAATTTTAGTTTAGCTGTGAAACAATACTGGGATACAGTATTGTATGGCAGTATGAAGCCATTGATACAATACATTGATTAACACCCCTGCATCATGATACATGCAATTCATTAGAAGTTATATTAGTGGAAAAGATCAACATAATAACAGAAACTGTTCAACAACCAGCTGGGGCTGTGGGGTAGCCTGATGGCTAAAGCGTTCGCTCATCACGCCGAAGACACAGGTTCTATTCCCCACATGGTTACAATGTGTGAAGCCCATTTCTTGTGTCCCCCATGATGATATTGCTGGAATATTGCTAAAAGCGGTATAAAACTAAACCCACTGAACAACCAGCTTACAAAGATTCTCCAGTATTTCCCATTTGGCTATAAATGCCACCATAATTACAGTGCCCTCCAGGTTATATGCTTTTGCTCTACAATGTTCCATCTTTGATGTCTGAAATTTGAAAACATGTCATCAGGGCTGTGATCACCTGCAAAGAAATGAATAACACTATATCGTTACACCTCTAAATGATTTGATGTACATTTGGTGCACCATGGTAGACTGTGATTATTTCTGAAATGGCAGGTCCAATGTCAATACAAAACCATAAAGCCATAAATATGCACACGGGTTTCATCGAGTGGCAAATGTTAAAGACTATTACTTTGGGCTTACATTAAGCAGACATGCCATTATATAGATGAAATACTGTTCAATGCATTGTTAAACCAAGCTTATGTGTTAGATCAAAGAAAACACTAAAGGTCAGCCAATTTGAATACCGTCAGAACCAATTAGATTCACAGCTCTGACCAACTTTTACATGTCTTGTCTTCAAGGATAAGAAAGGATTGCTATAGTGTAATGGGTTAGAACCAAAGTCGTCTTCATAATCCATTGGGAATATGTCAGCGTGAAAATGGCGAGCATGTATATGTAAAGGGAGACAACTGTGTCAGTTCTAGTTTATGAATTTATCTTCAGGCGAGAATTTCTGGCATTATTAACTGAAGAGTGTTGATGTGCCCTTAAGATCCCTTAATCTGTCCTTTCAGGTCGGGGCTGATGTTTCCATCCCTCAATGTACATTTAACAGTGTTTTCTGTCTGTAGGGAAAGAAATTGTGGACAATAAAATTGCCTGCAAGCATTACCACAATGCACACCATTGACTACAAACCAAGGGGATTCAAGGCTGTCCTTATTGGCCTCAACAACTGTGAGGTACATATATACAAAGAGAAGTATCTCGTAGATGTCATCAAGACCTCCGATGTTGTCACAGGCTACACTTTGGGCGCTTCGGGAGGGAGGATGGCACGCTGGTCATGTCTACTCGAGGTATGGATCCTATATTGGTTGAAGCACTCATAACAGTTTGAAAACATGAGATCCATGTCTGTGATATCTGTATTAGTTTTAAATGTATGCCACACATTCCCTTATCGTTGCTCTGTGGCTGTGAGTATTTGAAATTCATGATGGTATGATAGCCCAAGACTACAAAATATTGCTGAGGTCAAGTAACAATAAATATGCTTGTCATTATTGACTACCAAGTGGTACTATATGTTTTATTATGCAAGCATATTTTTCCGGCTACCTGATTGGTCTAGAGGCGGTCACGTGACCGTCGACAGAAAAGCATATTGACTCCAACCCAGGTCCAACCAAAAGTCATATTGACCTGAGTTACTATGACGTCAAGCTATGACGTCATTCTATTGTTTACATGTCACAGCATTGTTGACATAACGTTATTGGTTTGTAGTGAAAATAAAATTACTTTTCTTGACTAAATGGACATGTTTTGGATTTTAGAAGCTTTGTTTCGGTAATTACATAATAAAACAATTATATAGGACTTTGTCCCAGGTCAATATTGCTTTTCACGGGTCCATAATAACAGGCATTGACCTCATCACCAGTCTATAATTGTATAATATTAGCTAGATCATTTTCTCAGTATAGTGCAGATTCTAGTTTACGGTGGGGTAGCCTAGTGGTTAAAGCGTTTGCTCATCATGCCGAAGACCTGGTTCGATTCCCCACATGGGTATTATATGTGAAGCCCATTTCTGGTGTCCCCTGCTGTGATATTGCTGGAATATTGCTAAAATTAGCATAAAACTAAACTCATTCACTCACAGATTCTAGTACTTTGTGGGGATGAATCTATTCGGGGATTCAAACCCACTCTCAGAGTGAGACATCTAATCACACGCACACAGTCACCTATCTAACCCAATGAGCCACTATGGCTTCCACAAATCTAGAATGCTGTCTTATTCATATACTTACTGACCCCTCTGACAAGTGTAAATTTGCCACTTTGTATATATGACTGATTTGATCCAAGGTTTATGGTTTGGGGCCATAACTGTACCAGGTTTGTCCTACTGTTTTATTCATCTCATTGCCAGGCAATGATTATCGCTTTATTCTGGGCTGCTGCATCAGAGTTACCTCCCTTATCTGTTTTCTCCAATGTGAACTATTTTATGGATTTCCGTGATGAGGCTGTCATGTCAGCATGAATTAGCTGAGTAATTTTTCAAAGGAGGGACAAGAAGTAACCTTGAACAAACAGTGAAGCAGTTATGTTTAAAAGGTTTCATTTGGTCTCATTCAACCTTTTCCTAATAACAAATCAAAGACTTCCTTGCCCACCTTGATTAGGATCCTCAGTGTGTCAGGTTCAGATATAAGCTTGTTTCTCTTTAGTGGTTATCATCTGAGACCTACGTCACTTTCCTCAGACCTTAAGCTGACACAGCAAAGCCAATCATAGTGACAATAGGCAAAGTCTTCACACATGATGTCAGGCTAACAAGTAGTGATAAACCATAATAAAGATAATCAGGCCATTTATGATGTGCCAAATTCACTCGTATTGAATGTTTATGGCATTACATTATTCTTACCCTGGTCAATGGACCTATGTGAACCTGACTTACATTCCCAGCTCCCTGGGGTGTATATAACACAAGCTGCTTGTGAGGAACTAGAATGTTAACTGTCATATTACCATATCTTACAAGGTACACATTCAGTACTTGGTGATCAGACACAAACTTTCTCTTGCCTAAGGATATACTACATGTGGTTCAGTGAGGCGCAGGACTGATTCCATCTAAACTGTACTCACTCACTCAGCTGCTACCACAACATCATATTCTAAAGATATCTGATATAGATTTGATCAGTCTTGAAAGAAGAGTCTATTTTTCCACAGGTGGTGGACTGTTTGTGAAGATTTTGAAGCGGACTGCATCCTTTCAAGAGAAGGATCTTTCAGCAGGTCCACCAGTGGCCCAGAACGTGAAGCTGAATATTCCCAAGAAAACCAAACTGTTTGTAGACCAGACCATGAGGGAAAGAGAGAATGCTGTCAGTAAGTAGATCAATTGTAGTCCATGACAAAAGAACAAATTCATCTTCTGCTATTCTTGTTCAGGTTTTCCTATCACATTAAATTCACTGGTGAGGGCATGATGTGCTATCTAAATCAGCATTAAGTCCAACTCACCTTCTCCCTTTTCTTAGGGGCGGTGGGGTAGCCTAGTGGTTAGCCTAGAGCGTTCACTCGTCACGCCAAAGGCCTGGGTTCGATTCCCCACATGGGTACAATGTGTGAAGCCCATTTCTGGTGTCCCCACCGTGATATTGTGGGAATATTGCTAACTCCTTCCCTCACTCTCCCTTTTTTTAAGAACAAGGGACTTGAAATGAGCTTTCAAAGATGGCGGAAGGTATCAAGTATTCTGTAGTCTTGTCTTAGAATGTTCTGTAGCAGTTCAGGGCTTTCTTCCACACAGCAATCTTAGCACTTGAGATGATTATTATTCCACTATTTTTAACATAGACTTGATGCAGTGGTTACGCTGTGTTTGTGGAATAGAGCCCTGCTGTTCTTTGTTGATAATTGGGATGCACTGGAAATAATGAGTGTGTGTAGCTATGACCCAAGGCTACATGACAACCACATGACAACAGGCACATGACTGCGCCCATGTGTTTGTCTACAGGAACCCACTAATCACTACCCTACAACTAGTGGTGTTCCAATTAATTAAAATAATCGAAGATTGGTTGCAGTGACCAAATGACCAAGCAATCAATCACATTTTCTGAATTTTTCTCATAACCGAACACAAATGATTTTGGAACTACTGTTTTAGTGTTTGAAACACTTGACGAAGGAACATATCTTAGATCATGCTGTCAGAGACTGAAAACATGTTTAATTGTTGGAAAACTAACTTCACTTACTGAAAAGTCATGACTAAATATTTCTTTAATGTTCATGATATATTAACCATAACTTTAAAGTAGCAAGATGTGTCATTTTAAATTGGATGTTAATTTGCAAATGCAATTTGCACAGTTTCTAAATAAAGCAAAAAACAACAGATGACCATGTTGTACGTATCTGCAATATAAACCTGAATAGGAAAATCTGAGAAATCCAATTTATTTTAAATGAATGCATGCAGGTAATGAACCAGTTATCAATTGTGAGATTTGCAACCAATTCCCAACACTACCTACAACCCAACTTGTCATGGGTAATGTCTTTAAAATCTTAAACGTCTAATGCCTCTCAGGAGAACTTTCTAACAGAGGGTTGCAGGTTTTGACATTCTAATAAACTAATGATTGTCTAGGCTTCTGAATTCTTGGTAGGAGTGCACAAAAATTTGATTTTAGTGATATTGAATCATTGGATATTTCATGGAAAATGTGAAACATACAATAAAACTGTTTTGAACATGTTCATGATTCAAACAGGCATGAACATTCCTTGAATTGTATTTAATGTCTGCAGCTTTATACCTCACTTGCTAAGAAACTTGAATTTAATATGTATTTTTTTCAGGGAAATCCACAGGTACAAATATTGAAATTGCAATTAAAACTGTCAGTGTAAAAATGAGAAACATGAGTGAAAACATGACAGTGTTAGGCTCATTATAACCTTCTTGCAATTGTAATGTAATCAGCACTATGATAGACCTGACATGGTTTGATGATGCATCACTGCAGAGGGTGGCTGTAAAGTCATGAAGCTTACCAAGAAGGAAGCATATTAACGTTTGCATCTATCAAGTACAATACTTATTGTACTCCCAGCATGCATTTGAACAATATACAGTAACATGATACAACCACGCTTCCAATTTCTGAAGGCTTCAAAGTGACTGTGACAGTGTTCTGTGTTGAAGAAAATGGAAAAAATTGGCCTCTATGCTGTTTTCAAGTATGTCTAACTATAAGGGGTAACCTCGGCAGCCATGCATACAGACATCACATGATGCCAAGTTTAAGGGGTGCTGCTGCTTCCTTTCACTGTAACGACGTGGGCAAGTGGAGTTCAAGAAGGGGGAGAAGACAGTATTGAAAACAATCAAAGATCAGGAAAACCTTCAGCTGCCACCACAAAGGAAACTGTTGATAAAATCCTTGACATGATTATGGATGGTCATCACATGTGACAAATACAGTGGGCTGCTCTCATGACAGAGTGAAGCTGTTCAAAGGAACTTTAAAGTCACTCACTCAAAAAACTTACCTGCTTTTGATGAATAGTTTGCTGGTTATGTCAGAGCTGGTATTATATTCCTCAGTTTGGGTATACAATGGGTGGAGCCATTTTTCCAGCATTGGCACAATGATCTTGCTGGAATATTGCTGAAAGTGGTGTGAAAACAACTCTCACTCACTCAATCACTCTCATTTGAAGAATGATCTGGCTTCACAAAGGTTTCAGTATGCTTGGTTCCGACCCCTGATCAGGCTTTGGTAACTCTTCATCTGTGAGAATTTACAGAGCTGCTCCAGCTGACTTTGAGTAATTCTTCCAACATGATAATGAAAATGTGATGTTGAGGGGCACATCCAGGATTTTGAGAAGTGGGGGTACACATATATCATGAAGTCCGAAGGTTAAGGGGGAAATGCTCCCCAGGGAAAAAAATTTCGGGGGAGAAGGGTGGGTGCACATCCCCACATCCCACCACTGGATCCGCCCCTGATGTTGTTTTCAGCGTGACAGTCTACTTGACAGGAATGGTCAGAAGACATTTTGAGTGTGTTAACTCATTTTATTTCTAAAGAATGACCAGAAAAAATAAATAAATGAAGGAGCACCACATTTTGACCTCAACAGCACAACATTTTTACCTTTTTCACTAGACATGAATTCTTTTCAACCATGTGCTTAAGACCATTTTTAGTGACTCCATTCTTAGGAACTGAATACATTGTCTTGAGATTGCTCTGATATCATTCTGACATGAAGAAGGTCAAGAGTCAAGATCACTTGTACAAATGTAGCTGAAAAAGATTAATTATATTCAGTAATTTGAGTATTTATGAATGGACTGGGATGAAACATAATATGCATGATCTTTAAAATTATGGTTGTCAGTCATTACTTTTGGGTGATCTGAACATGATCAAGGTCACTTGACCATGCAAGCCCTGAAACGAGGTTCAAATTTCAGAATTTTATGGTTGATTTATAAAGAATGTGAGCACTTTCCAATTAATGTTGATAGGCTCTCAGAATTAATTCAATACCTGAGGCTGGGATTTGTCTGCTTCTCTTTTTGTATGTAATGCAAACACATTTCTAGTTTATGTTGCATCATGTTTATATTGATGCTTGTATTGTGAAGCATCACTTGCAAACTCACTTGATGGAGAATACATTGATATTGTCTAATGATGTATATTAGTAACAATGCCATAATCAGTGAATGACCTTATTTGATAATGATTAATATTCCAATGATTAGGTCCTATGTTCCTTAAAACGTTCAGGAATCTGTTGAGACGTCTCCTACATGTTCTCAAACCAACTTAATTGGGCTATTATTGATTTTTCTTTGGTGCTCTTAGATGTCTTAATGCTACTATCTGATTACTTATATGAAATAATTCTATTTAGGAAAATGCATTAATTTGCAAGGACAGGATCTTTTGTCCTGGAAAGATGAAAGAAATGCCAAAAGGTTACCTTACGTTTCAGAAATAAAAACAAGTGGTTTTCAGAGAGGACATCTTCAGAAAGTAGGCTGTTGGATAAAGAGGTGAATTCAAAGCAGAGTTAGGTCATCATGGCCAGGTGTGAGGCAGGGTGTAGAGGAGATTCCAGGGTGTTACTGTATCACTGTGTCAGGTATGGTGTTAAAGGGTGGAGGATATTTCAGGCTGAGGACATTCTAGGAAGTGTGTCAGTCTAACACTGTGTCAAGTAGGCTGTTAAGGGTCAGGCAGATTACTCTGAGGGTTTTAAATCCTGATGGATGCAACCACCTAAAAGAATTTCTACATAACTGAGAAAGTGTATCCAATATATAATATTATTATGTTAAAGGACGATTGTCAGGTTGGGTGGAGGCTAAAAGTAGGTTGTTAGGTCGGGTGGGTGTAAGGCAAGGTCACATGAAAGGGTGTGAAAGTTTATAATGTCTGCTGGAGATGAAGCTGGGAGTCAAACATGACACAAAGTAGGTTGTCCAGCCTATAACTACTGCCATGATTCTTTGACAAAGTTTATCATTACAGTCTGCCTATTACTACTATCAGGGGCGGTGGGGTAGCCTAGTGGTTAAAGTGTTCCATCGTCACACCGAAGACCTGAGTTCGATTCCCCACATGGGTACAATGTGTGAAGGACATTTCTGGTGTCCACTTAACCGTGATGTTGCTGGAATATTGCTAATAGCGGCGTAAAACCATATTCACTCACTATTACTTCTATTGTGAATCACTCACTAGTGGTAAAAGCTTTGACTTGACCCAGGTTCAATCCCCACATGGGTACAATGTGTGAAGCCCATTTCTGGTGTCCCCCGATCACCCGTTGCTGGAATATTACTGTCAACTCAGTCAGTCAGTCTATTGTGAATCTTTGACAAAGTGTATGATTACGACCAGGTCACCCGCCTATTATTACTGTCATAATTCCTTGACAAAGTGTATTACTATCAATTTGTTAACATTTAGATATTATAACGTGGAACTTATGTACATCTCATCAGTTGACTTACCCAGTGATTCAGGCAGAGACAAATGTCATTTGAATATTTTCATGACTTTTTTTGAAAATTTTGAGACAAGCACTCATTACCAACTCTGAACAATATCATTTCAACATTTTGTGAGACATTTCAGTGCAATAAATAAATAAATAACCTGAATAAATGATATTTTATCTCAGATTTATTACAGATTTAATTGACAAGGACCTCTTTTCACAAAGCACTAAGGTGATCATAAGTCACTAAGGTAACCTTAGTGCCATGTTAAAGAAGTTAAGGTTAACCTTAGTAAAGGTTGCTTCGTGAAAGGAGCCTAAGGTCTATTTTCTCCTGATAGTTCACCTGT